GCGGGCGGGTTTAGGGTTTAGGGTTTAGGGTTTAGGGTTTAGGGTTTAGGGTTTAGGGTTTAGGGTTTAGGGTTTAGGGTTTAGGGTTTAGGGTTTAGTTAGGTTTAGGGTTTAGGGTTTAGGGTTTAGGGTTTAGGGTTTAGGGTTTAGGGTTTAGGGTTTAGGGTTTAGGGTTTAGGGTTTAGGGTTTAGGGTTTAGGGTTTAGGGTTTAGGGTTTAGGGTTTAGGGTTTAGGGTTGGGTTTAGCATCCAAACACAACGATATGCTTTCGCATCGGAACGGGGGGGGTCTATGAAACGAGCAAGAAGCCTTTAACCCCCATACAAAACTCACCCTGAAGCCTTCAATCCCGCCGCCAATCTCCTGAAGCCGAAATCCTAACACCCTAACCCCCCCTGTAAACCCTTCGAAACCACCCAACCCCCCCCCCCCCCCCCAAAAAAAAAATGAAAAACCCCCCAAACTCCCTTTAAAGCTTGGGTCGTGGGCCTTCGCTCCGTCTGGCAACTTCCACTGACCTGGAGGCAGTTGAGTTTAGGCGTTGGCGTATTTGGGGCTTCTGGTTGTGTGTGGGGTCAAAATCACGAAGCCCGCTCAGCTTCTAAGCCATAAAATGCTAAAGCCTCGACACCCTAAACCCCCAAGCCCTAAACTTTACCCTAAACCCAAAACCCTAAACCCTAAATTTGAATCCTAAATCCTAAACCCTGAAACCTGAACCCAAACCCTAAACCCTAAACCGTTGTGGCCCGCCAGCCAGCGAGCCCTACAGTCTGAGGGAGCTTCATCACAAGGTTTAGGGTTTAGGGTTCAGGGTTTCGGTTGCCCAAACAAACACAAGAAGCTGCAAATTTAATCCCCACTCCCCCCCACTGTTATGTGAGCAGAAGATTGTGCTACTATGTTGTTAATTATATTATAGTATGTTGTATTTTATATTAGTTTCTTACACATATATATATATATATATGGAAGTATACTAGATTAAACAGCTGCAGTACTTCATTATTGTTATGTTGAAAGAACCGTTAGGAGGGAGCTACCGTGCATGAGGCAATGAAGTTTGCGGAGCATTTCAATCAAGTCGTTCTCCTGTTGCTTTTGGAGGAGCTTCAAAGCCAGGCTATTTAGTCCAAGGGAGCTTCGTCCAGACGCCTTGAAGGGTTTAGGGTTTAGGGTTTAGGGTTTAGGGTCTAGGGTTTCGGGTTTAGGGTTTATGGTTTAGGGTGTAGGGTTTAGGGTTTCTCCCCCTAAAAAGGTACAGGAGCCCTAAGACGGACTGGAAGTTGCTAGATTGGCCCGGGCTTTGAAATTTGTTTCTGGCGTACCGGGTTTCGGGCTCAAGACGTATCGTGCTTATGGGTTTTTGCACAGGGTTTAGGGTCTCAGGTGTTATGCTGTGGGCGGGTTAGAGTTGGTCGCCTGTCCACTGCTTTGCTTCACCTGAAACCCCTCAACCCTAAACCCAAAACTTCACGGTTGTGATCCTGGAGGGACTCATGCAAAGCTGCTGTCAGGGATGAAAATACAAAGCTTAAAGGCTAGGGCTTAGGGTCCTAAACCCTAAACCCTAAACCCTAAACCCTAAACCCTAAACCCTAAATTATCGGGTGAGGGTCACTGGCCGTGACCACAGCGGTTCGGGCAATGCTTGGACCTTTTCCCTAACTCTTCGAAGCCCCCACACACCCTGAGGCCTAAAGCCCAAACATAATACCGGCCCAGACTCCAAGCACCCTAAAGCCCCAAACCCCCAGACCCCTAAATCCTAAACCCTAAGCCCCCCAAACCCTATGAACCCTAAACCCTCAATCCCAAACCGGGCGGCCTTCAACAAATTGAAGACATATTGATATATTATATAGGATCCCTTATAAGGCCGCCAAATAAGGAAAACCTAAAATATCCAAAAAGCCAACCTAGTTGAAAACAATCCCCTTAACCCTAGCCCTAAACCCTAAACCCTAAGCCCTAAACCCTAGACCCTAAACCCCAGACCCGAAACCCTCAGCCCTCAACCCTACACCCCGACCCCCACCGGCCTGGCCAAGCCTCTGCGCCGCCTCAGCGCTCCTTCTGCGGACCTTTGGGAGATTCTCCGGAGTTTGGGGTTTAGGGTTTAAGGTTTAGGGTTCAGGGTTTAGGGTTTAAGGTTTAGGGTTTAGGGTTTAGGGTTGAGGGTTTAGGGTTTGGGGTTTGGAGTTTAGGGTTTAGGGCAACCTGAAGCCCAAAATTAAGCCCCATGAGGGGCTTTTTACTTGATGTTTCACCCCTCCCCCCCACTCACCCCCACCCCCAAACCCTAAACCCTAAACCCTAAACCCTAAACCCTAAACCCCTAAGAATTCTAGGAGTGCTTTTCGGCGGGCGGAGGTGCGCGGGCTGTAACGTGTCATAGGTTTAGGCTTTTGAAGGGCCTCCCGCGTCGGGATACTGTAGGACCAGTAACTGACAATAAAAGGACACGCCTTGGGTGTATATAAACCCACCTCCAATACAGTGAACAAGTAAGACCAACAAACATAGATCCGCTCTGACATTATCCGCCGAGGCCTTGGGCCGTAGGTGTCTGGGTGGCCCCACGCTCCCCCGTGCCCCCCCCACCCCCCCCCACCCCCCACCCACCCCACCTGCCCCCAGCCCCCTGGTAGGTCGCATAGCGTTAAAATGACCCCCCCAACCAATGTCAGTGCCTTTGCCTCACAAAGGCAAAAACCAAGTAGCTTCTGGCCCATTCAAAGACCGAACAGCATGGCTTCATACTCGTTTGTTTCCGGATGTTGTCCATCATTGCCGGTTTTGCCCGGCAGTTGCATTTTTGATCGGGCCCCCATGTCTTCAGCGACTGAAGCACAACAAGATGTGCTTTTGGGGAACACATACAAATATCATACATGCGTACACACAGCACACACACACACACACATATTGCGTACACACGTACATCCACACATACTGAAAGCATACCTAAAATAAGTTCAGGGAACGGGGACGTGATTTTCACGTCCGGGATTAGATTACAAGCCCCATTACCCCCTGGCCTCCTGCACATGTCGAGCGTGGACTTCCTGCACAAGTGGTTCAGGGTTGAGGGTACAGGGCAGACGGGGTCAAGGGTCTAAACCTAGGAATAATGAAATGAGGGAGCCTAACCCTAAAAAGGCCTAGATGTGCATCGCGAAGTCTCTTATACAATCCGAAGTCGCAAGCCCTGAAACCCAGAACCTTACCTACAACTGCATTTCTAGCCATGAAGCTTAGCGATCCCAACAATCCTAAAAGGCTACTGATGGTCCATCTACGCTTCGATGGATTGTAAGGATTTAAGGTTTGTGGTGCAGAGCATAAGGCTTAGGTTGACCGCAAGGAAGCCACAACCGGTAGACTCCGGCAGCTTAGGCTTGAGCCTAACCCTACTTTGGAGTAGACCCTGGAAAAAAAGTATACACTTCTAGGTAGAAGTAGCTAGACTAGGAACCAGAATCCAAAAAAAGTATGAAAGTATAGTACTCCAAAACCCTAAACCCTAAACCCTAAACCCTAAACCCTAAACCCTAAACCCTAAACCCTAAACCCTAAACCCTAAACCCTAAACCCTAAACCCTAAACCCTAAACCCTAAACCCTAAACCCTAAACCCTAAACCCTAAAAACTAAACCCTAAACCCTAAACCCTAAACCCTAAACCCTAAACCCTAAACCCTAAACCCTAAACCCTAAACCCTAAACCCTAAACCCTAAACCGAAAGGAATGTGGGTATTTGTAGCAGAGTAGGGATTGTTTGGGGGCGGAGTTCTGTTTGACAGCTGCTGTGCAGGCCTTGGCTGCTTGCTTCTTCTCCTGCAGGCAGGGGCTTAGGGTTGTTGAGGGTTTAGGGTTTAGGGTTTAGGGTTTAGGGTTTAGGGTTTAGGGTGTAGGGTGTAGGGTGTAGGGTGCAGGGGCTTAGGGTTGCAGGCAGAATGATCAGAGCCCCCTACTTGCATGTGCTTCGGGTACCGGATGTTCGGGTTGCATCCTGGTTAAACCCTGACACAAGTGACCCCCAAGAATTACTAAGGTTCATGGGTAGCTGGAAACAGAGATATAGCTGGCCTGCTATGGCCTGAGCTAAGGCCCTCCTATCCCCTGACTGCTACGTACCAATACAGCAATCCTTTTGCTCGGAGGGGGTTTTTTCCCTGACTTATAAACGCCAATAAGCCAATAAATCGGTAAGAATGGAACGGTGTTCCCTTCGCCCCGAGGAACCAAGAGGGTTTGGGGGTTTGGGGCTTAGGAACCCTAAACCCGAAACTCTAGGGGGTTAGGAAACGAACCTAAGCCTCCATGCACGCCAAAAATCTCCAAACCCTAAACCCTAAACCCAAAAACCTAAACCCTAAACCCTAAACCCTAAACCCTAAACCCTAAACCCTAAACCCTCCACAGCCTCTAGGGTCCAGGATCGCCCTCGAGCTTCGCTCATCTCCTCAGGCGTCCTGAGTATTCGGATTTAGGGTTTAGGGTTTAGGGTTTAGGGTTTTGGGTTCTTAGGTTCTTAGGTTCTTAGGCTCAAAATCACCCAGAAACCCTTACATAGTAAGGTGTTCGGGCCCAGAGGCCCCGACATAGAGAGCAACCCCCTAGCCCAGAATATGAAAAATGTTCGCCATGATGAAGAGAATATACCAGAATGAGATGCGCACTATTCGGAGGCGAAGTCATCTCGAGGCTCCACATAGCCCAGAATCCTCGCGTAGTATGTTTTCTGCAACCTACAATGGCTGTCCGTGGAGCCAAAGGGTGAACAGTGAAGGACCAACAGGATCAAAGGTTCGGGGGCCAGGGTTAAAGGGGTTTAGGATCGCAGGTTGAACCCCAAACTTCACTCTGCCCATCAAGGGTTTACCCCACCCAGCCATCAATTTCTCGCCCAGAAGGAACGAAGCGCAAGATGTCAGAACTCACCTGGTTGTGAGTCATTTGTGAAACAGAGGACCTTGTAACAAGCCTAGCAAGGTTAACCATCAAGTTTTGGACCAGGCCAACAGCGAAATGACAGCACCGCTCCAATGCAGCACAGGACGAGGAAGATGAAGCTGCTCACCGCAGCATTGACGACCAAAAGCCAGAGAAGGACTTCGACTACAAACGCAATGAGGAGGGCGAAAACTGCAGCAGCTACTACGGCCATGGAAAGAAGAATCTCCAGCTGAATGCTGCAGGGATGCCGCAGCTTGTAGCACAGCCAGAGGACTAGCTGAAACACTGAAGGAACAAGTGCAAAGTAGTATGCGCCTGCTCGGGTAAGATTCTGAACTATACTGTCGGCACGCATGTCTCGCAATTTCAGGTCCGAAGCCGAGATGTCCATGAACACCCATAGCACGGCCATGGAACCTAGCAGAAGGCGGCGGTAAGAAAAGGCCTTGCTTGCGAGCTGATGGGAAAGTGCCTCTCGGACGTCGGTCTGCACCAGTTTCTCGAAGGCATCGATGGACCCCAGCCAGGCATCAATGCATCGAAGAATCGTTGTTCGGTCGCAGGGGCTGATGTCCACATGGTTGCGCTCGCAGCATGAGCTGGTCGTCTGTTGCATTGAGAAGCGGCGCATGTGCTCTGACATCATCTCCACCGTCCGGTAGTACACTCTGCAGGCATATGTCAGCAAAGTCAGGCACGGAAAGCAGGTAGCTGCCAGAAGTGTATAATATATCCAACTGCCGTGGTGCGGCAGCAACCTCAGCTCCCAGAACCTACCCCAAACCTCTTTGAAACCCTTATAAGCCCTTTATACAGGCCCCCCCCCTTAAATACCTCAAACCCTACAGGGCCCTACATACAAGAGGAAAAAGGGTACCACTGAGGGGGGTCCTCGGAACTGGTCCAGCACATTGAAGACACTCCTCGGTAGCCCAGCATAGCCATATCATAACATTATCTTGACCAGGAAACCTGGAACCCAAAAAGGCAGGAGGGTGCCAGAATAGTACGGGTGCCCTTTCTGGGGCCCCAAGAGTAACCTCGGAGTAGAAAGGGTGCCCTTTTTGGGTTTAAAGGGGCTTATAAGGGAAGCTAAACCAAAAAAAGGAACAATGGCCCACCCAGGGTCCTAGAACAAGAGCAAAAAGTTGGGATGTTCCCCCTTATACCTGACAGTCCTTAACAGGGATTTTAGCAACCCCTATTATCATCCCTAATAAGGACTGTTAGTATAAGGGGGAACATCCCAACCTCTCAAACCCTAAACAAAAGAAGGAAAATAGTATCTTAAAGGATTTGTATAGGGCCCTGGTTCCCGCATTCCCTACTAAAAAACCAGGGGAAGGGCTAAACCCTAAAACCCTAGAAGCCCTAAACCCTAAACCCTAAACCCTAAACCCTAAACCCTAAACCCTAGAAGCCCTAAACCCTAAACCCTAAACCCTAAACCCTAAACCCTAAACCCTAAACCCTAAACCCTAAACCCTAAACCCTAAACCCTAAACCCTAAACCAAATAAAGGGCACCACAGGGCCAACCGAGGCGCAAGCCGAGGTTCAGCCCCAACAACACCGGGCCCAGGAGCTGCGGACAAACCCTCAGGCCACCTGCGGAATGCCTGGCTTTCGGGCTTTTAGAGTTTTTTTTTGGTGTTTTAACTTTGTGTTTTTTTCTCACTTTTTTAGATGTTTTTTTTTCGGTGTTTTCGGAAGATTTGGGGTTTTTTATCGGGTAGCCAAGAAGCAGACTGAACCTGACGCCCATTTTCAAGGTTCCGCATGACCCCAAAAAAACCCAAAACGGGCGCCAAGGTCTACCGGGATGCATATGTAGAAAAGCACTCAGCTCAAATACGCACCACCTGCAGGGCGGGGGTGTAAGGAAGAAATATAGGGGCCTTAGTAACGTATTGCAGAGGGTTTTGGGGGGGGTCGTTATAGTAGAATCATAAAGGGACCATAAGGGAATACGAATAGTAACATAGAGTCATTCCTTCGACTTTTTTGTTAGGGCCTAGGGGAAGCTAGTGCTTGGCCGATGCAGAGGCTTGAAATAGTTTACAAAGACTTCCAAAAAAACGATGTCCCAGCCACAGTCTTGTCATGTATGTGGGGTCCCAGAACACCAGCATGGACTTGGATCTCTTTAAGATGGCGCCCATGCTCCTTAGTAGCCCAGTAGCCATATTATAGAAAAGGGCACCCTTTTTTGGGTTGGTTCTTTTTTGAGGGAACCCATAACAAAAAAAAAGTAAAGGGTACCACGGGGCTACCAAGGCTCACAACACCTTCGAATTTCAGCCTCTGGTCCTTCTGGTGTATGCAAGCGATGTCCAGGAACACACCCGCCCGCCGCTCGCAAAGCAGCAGGGTCAGCAAGTATGCTGCGGTGCCAAGAGGAGTGCACCATCGGCAGCTGAGAGGGGGCTCACCAAACTCTGGCAACACACCCAGAATGTAAAGAGTAAATGAGACTGAGGCAACCAATGTTCCCACCACACAGGCAATGAAGCCGTTGTACAAGAATAAGATGTTCATATACTTGAGCCACGCAGATGTCTGCCAACTGTGTGACCAGAACTCATCGATCTCGGAGGCTTCCTCACTGCGGTCGTGCATTATGTCCTGCCTCCCCCTCATACCATACCACAGCCCATGCTGCAGCACCCGGAAGACCCGGATAAGCCGGATCACGCGAGGCTGTGTCGCCTCCATCCGCGAGATCAGTCCGATGCACTGCTCCTCAAACTCTTTCGGCACAACTTCGTCTCCTTGCTCTGGCTTCGGTTCTGGGGGGTTGCAATCCTCATAGGAGCTTCCCACGCAGACCTGCAACCCATCGAGTGGCATGGCTGGCACGGCGTTTCTACTTACTTGCTTTCGGCTGGCAACGTTGCAGTATGACAGCTTCTGAGAAGCTCGGGCGTAGCAGAAGCCACCTCAACCCTCAGCACCCCCATTGGGCCCATTGAGCCCTATTAAAACACCTTATCAAGCCCTCAAACACCTGCAAATCCCCCATAAAACCCCACTACCCCTGCACTTTGAGGTCGCTGCCAGGCACGAAACTCCCGGCGCTGTTCAGTGCCACAACGCACCTGGGCTCAGGGTTGGGGTTTAGGGTGTAGGGTGTAGGGTGTAGGGTGTAGGGTGTAGGGTGTAGGGTGTAGGGTGTAGGGTGTAGGGTGTAGGGTTTAGGGTTTAGGGTTTAGGGTTTAGGGTTTAGGGTTTAGGGTTTAGGGTTTAGGGTTTAGGGTTTAGGGTTTAGGGTTTCGAAGTCATAGCCGTTTCAACTATTTCATGTCATTTCGCCACGTCAATTCAGTTCGGAATGCACTGTTAAAGTTATGTTCACCAAAGAAAAATGCGTTACTTCGTAGTTCTTTCTCCAAATGATGTGGCACCACTACGGCACTATGGTGTACCGGTGAGTGCTCCTGGAGTGCGTGATCTTACACTTTTTGGGCCCTGTGCCAGAACAATCTAACCGATCGATTAACTTAAGCGTGAAGCTCACGACTGTTGATGGCTGAAAGGCGGGGGGGGGAGGGATGGCAGTAGTGACGAAAGGCAGAACCATGAACCCTAAACCATGAACCCTAAAACCATGAACCCTAAAACCATGAACCCCAAACCCTAAGCACAAGTCCGCGTCCAACAAACCCTAAACCCTAACCCTAAACCCTAAACCCTAAACCCTAAACCCTAAACCCTAAACCCTAAACCCTAAACCCTAAACCCTAAACCCTAAACCCTAAACCCTAAACCCTAAACCCTAAACCCTAACCCTAAACCCTAAACCCTAAACCCTAAACCCTAAGCCCTAAACCCTAAGCCCACCGGGATCTGGGCGTGTTCGGCGGCCTCCTCGAGTTGCCTTTCAATTTTCGTCAAGGGGCATTTGGGGCTCAGCGCTTTGGAGGACCTGAAGGGCTTAGGGTTTTAGGGTTTAGGGTTTTAGGGTTTAGGGTTTAGGGGGCAATACACTCAAGAAGCCCAAATCCGTTGTGGCTCGGAATTTCGAAGTTCGAAAGCTGATCAGCTCCACGCGACTCACCTTTTTGAGGGCTTCATAATCACCTTGATTGCCAAATCTACTGCTGAAGGACCCCGCAACGAGTCGCGCCCTAAGCTCCAAGCCCTTATCAACCCACCCAAGACAGACCACCCACCACCTCATATACCCGAACCCCAAAAACCTACAAACTCTAGCCCTAAACCCTAAATCCTAAACCCTACACCCTACACCCTACACCCTAAACCCTAAACCCTAAACCCTACACCCTGAACCCTGAACACTAAACCCTACATCCTACATCCTGTCTTCGTCCCGACCTCAGATGCGCTCTCGGTAAAGTGAGGCTTTGAGAGGTTCGGTTCGGGAGGCTCAGGGTTCTGGGCTTGTAGGGTTGCAATCCTAAACCCTACAACCCTAAACCCTACGAACCTAAACCCTACAACCCTAAACCCTAAACCCTACAATCCTGAAACCCTACAACCCGAAACCCTACAACCCCCAAACCCCAACACTTTAGGGTTTTTTCGAGCTTCGGGCTCCAGGAATTAGAGCTTGCAGTTGCGAGCGCCCAACCACGACAAGAAAACACAAACCACTCCACGAAAAGCCTTCGTGGTAAGAGCAGATCCTGCTTGGAGTTTAGGATGTTGGGGTTTACGGTTTAGAGCTTCGGGCCTGGGTTTAGGGTTTAGGGTACCTCGGGATTATAGGGTTCAGGGCCACCTTGGGAAGGATCCCATGAACGACCTGGCCCGGTAACTTTAGCGAGTTTCAGGTAAGGGCGGGGGAACAGTCTTACCCTACAGCATGCCCCTGCTAAACAACGGCTTGCCTTTGAGGTTGTAAGGGTCCTGAGCCCAAAACACCCTAGACCCTAAACCCTTCCGGATTTAGAGTTTAGGGATTTGGATGTTCCGGGCTTCGGTATGTCAGCTACAGCGTCTTGTCTACACTCCTGAAAAATGACTCAAGCCCCTGAACGCCTAAACCCAAAAAAATATCCGGCCACCCGAGCAGTTTTTGATTGCACGCTCTGTCGTCGTCTCCAAGGCGCGAGGAGGGCCCAGGCGGGATAGGCTCCCTTTCTACCGTAGCGCGACTTAGAGGTCCAGTAACCTGGGGGAATTAAGGTTTGTGATTTTATAGGGACTAGAATAGCCCCAAGAGGTTAAAGGTTACCTGCTCTACTACTGAGGCGAGGCCTAGGCTCGAGGATTTCGGAATCAGGGTTGGGGGTGTTACGGCTTCGGGTCAGGGTTCAGGATTCAGGTTGTAGGGTTTGAGAGTTCGAGGGTTTGAGGGTTTAGGATTTAGGGCTTCTAGGGCCCTAAACCCTAAACCCTAAACCCCAAATCCTAAACCCTAAACCCTAAATACACACCAAAGACTAGACCCCAAACCTATAGGACTCGATGAGTTCAGGGCCATGCCGCGCAAGCCTCGGGCGACCCTTTTCGGGGTAGTCGCTGACATCATGCAAGCTGAAACGGAAGAACTCGAGGGCGGCATCCGACCGTCTACCAGTCTGGGGTCCGCTTCTAAGTGTTGTTTTGGAGGGGGTTAGGGTTTAGGGTTTAGGGTTTAGGGTTTAGGGTTTAGGGTTTAGGGTTCAGGGTTTAGGGTTTAGGGTTTAGGGTTTAATTAGAGGGGTTAGGGTTTAGGGTTTAGAGGGGGTAGGGTCCAGGGGTGTTTAGGGCTTTGAGGTTTTGCGTTGTGCTTTTTTTTTGAGGGGGGGGATTGGGATTTTGGGATCAGGACCTGAGGCGCTTCATTTTGGAAGGGGAATCGGTTTTGCTTGCCCTGAACCCTAAACCCTAAACCTAAACCCTAGGTGCTGTTTCTGCTTTTTTCGGGCGTGTGTGGGCTCTAGGAGGAGCCCTGGAACTGCTTCAGGGCATGAAGACCCGGCACCTTCAGAATGCAGAAATCTAGGGCCCGCTGAGATTTTCTCTAATCACCTAAACCCTAAACCCTAAACCCTAATTAAACCCTAAACCCGAAACCCTAAACCCTAAACCCTTAGGTGAAACGTGCCAAAAAGCATGAAAATGAAAGCTCAGGGCTTCAGGCTTCAGACCTTTACGTTTCGGAAATTGAGGGTGTAGCTCAAGACGCTTCATGCTTCATTTTCCTGATTCCGGGTGCTTGCGGGTCAAGGGCTAGGGGTTGCTAGTTCTGTCAGCAGCGGCTGCGAGACACAACCCTAAACCCTAAACCCTAAACCCTAAACCCTAAACCCTAAACCCTAAACCCTAAACCCTAAACCCTAAACCCTAAACCCTAAACCCTAAACCCAAACCCTAAACCCCAAACCCTGATGATCGCATCGGGTTGGGGAACGTTGGCTTCGGTGAAGCCCCCCTCCTAATTGCCCGAAATGAGGGGGCAGTGCCTCTCTGTGCACTCATCCAGCGTTCCATGCGCGTATTTTGGGGTAACGACCCAAAATCACGAATAGCCTAAATCAACCCTAAACCCTGAACCCTAACCCTAAACCCTAAAGCCTAAACCCTAAACCCTAAACCCTGAACCCTGAACCCTGAACCTTGAACCCTAAACCCCACATGTCAATCCAAAAGTCTTAGGTGACACAACCCTCTCCACCCGCAGCATCGTCTCAGGGCACGGATCCCTCGCCGGTGATGGGCCTTCGCGTGTAGGGCCTGGCAAATGGCTCCCTCCATCAGGGCCAAGGGCCCCATGATAGGGTTTAGGGTTTAGGGTTTAGGGTTTGGGGTTTGGGGTTTGGGGTTTAGGGTTTAGGGTGTAGGGTTTAGCGTTTAGGGTTTAGGGTTTAGGGCTTAGGGTTTAGGGTTTAGGGTTTAGGGCTTAGGGTTTAGGAGACCCCAAAAGCCCTAAGACCTAAACCCGAAACCCTGCAAGCCCTATGAGCCCTTCAAACCCTCCAAGCCTTGACCCTATCAACTCTGCGAACCCTAATATCCCAAACCCTAATATCCTAAACACTAATGTCCTAAACCCTAAACCCAGTAAAACCCTATAAACCCTGTAAACCCTACACCCTCAACCCTTCAGGGGTTTTGGGCGTGAGGGATTCCGGGCTTGGGGCACTTGAGGGGTTTCATGGATCAGGGGGTTGGGGTGTAGGGTTGAGGGTTTAAGGTTTATCAGGGGTTTAGGGTTTAGGGCTAGGGGGCTTAAGGTTTATCAGGGGTTTCGGGAGGCCATGAGAAGCTCGTTCGGGGCTTTCGGACGCTTCGGCGAGAGCCCCTTTAAGCTATTTCAATCAACAGTTGCCAATAAGGTTAGGGGCAAGCCCGATCCCCGAATCCCTGAACCCTAAACCCTAAGCCTTAAGCCCAAACCCTACAGCCGGAACCCTAAACCCTACCCCCCCCCCCCCCTCGCATCCCTAAACCCTAAACCCTAACCCTCCACCCTAAACCCTAAACCGACGCTAAACCTCCCAAAAAACTACCCTCAGTCGGACCTTCGGTCGCGCCTTGGCGCAGCCTTCGAAAAGAGGCGGCTTGTGAGGCGCTCAGGGCGGGGGGGGGGGGTCTAGGGGTTTTACGTTTAATAGGGTTTATAGGGTTTATACACACCTGTTTTTGGCCGGCTCAGGATTCACAGTCCTCATGCATCGGAAGGAAGGAAGGTTTACAGGGTTCATAGAGTTTACAGGGTTGACAGGCTTCATAGGGTTTACAGGGTTTAGGGTTTATGGGGTTTTGGGTTTTGGGCTTCGAACTTAGGGTATAGGATCCATCTACCTGGCGGCAACCTGTGCACCGCCTGCAAGGATGAAGCTAGGTGAATAAGGTCCCTGCTTAAGAAAGCCAGAAGAGGGTCAAGAAGGGTTCCCCTTTAAGGGTCCCCCCTTATCCTACCGAGATGAGCAACCTCCAGAATTGAACTCTTTGGGGCTAAGGGCAACCCGTCTCTCTGGGAGTTTGGCATCAAAGGCGAATTTGAGAAACCTTGCAGCAGGATTAAGTCTGTGTGATGAATATATCGTTTACATAGCAAAGCCTAAATAATACCCTAGTCTACAAACCCTGAACCGTCTAGGGCCTGGGGGGTGGAATGTGTCCCTGGCATGGTACTCTCGGAACTCGGCCGCATTTCTATGGAGGAGGGTCCTTGGGAGGTTGTGCACCAGATGGAAAGGGAAGACGGAAGTCCACACTATCACACCTCCACGGGACTGCGAGTTCAGCATGGTGGCTCTGAGTGTCGGATGTTGCTGTTCCAAACCATGGCGTGCGAAGGGAGGAACGCTACCCTACAAACCCTAAACCCTAAACCCTAAACCCTAAACCCTGAACCCTAAACCCTAAACCCTAAGCCTAAACCCTAAAACCTAAACCCTAAACCCTAAACCCTAAGCCTAAACCCTAAACCCTAAACCCCCAAGATCATCGAACAACTTCAGACTTCTGGACCCTACATCCCCCCTGCTTTTAACCTCTGAACGGTAAACTCGCTGCTCTGCACCCCTTACCAAGGCCCTCCTCCCACGTGCACGCCTGCCGCCGAAGCATAGAGAAGACAGCCTGCAAACGGAAGCACCATGAGGATCCATAGCTTTGGGTGCAGGGTTTATAGGGTTTAGGGCTTAAAGCTCCCAAATTCCCCCCCCCCCCCCATGGTCCTCATCTCAACCCTCCATGACCTATCATAAGACACCCTTACAGCCTTACTTTACCTCAAACCCTAAACCCTAAACCCTAAACCCTAAACCCTAAACCCTAAACCCTAAACACCCTTGCAGCCTTACTTTTGGGTTAGGCCCGCTCCACGATGAAGTCCCGAAACCCCCAATTCCCAAACCCTAGGCCTTCTGTCTCCGAGACGATTTAGGGTTTAGGGTTTAGGGTTAAGGGCTTAGGGTTTAGGAAGCTCTGACGTTCAGGTCCACGCCTTCTGTGAAGGGGTCCAGGGGGCTATGTTGGGATTTAGGGTAGAGGGTCCAAGGATCAGGCTTGAAACTCGCAGGAACAGCAAACCCTAAACCCTAAACCCTAAACCCTAAACCCTAAACCCTAAACCCTAAACCCTAAACCCTAAACCCTAAACCCTAAACCCTAAACCCTAAACCTAAATTCTAGGTCAACTCCAACCTCTGAAACTTTTCTAGACCTTCTTTACGGGTCTGGAATCTGGGGGGCTCAGAGTCTTAGCAAGCGCGGAGGTGCACCCAAACAGGCACACCACTCTGCCAGCCCTTGAAAACCCCGAACCCCAGAAAAGTTTAGGGTTTAGGGTTTAGGGTTTAGGGTTTAGGGTTTAGGGTTTAGGGTTTAGGGTTTAGGGTTTAGGGTTTAGGGTTTAGGGTTTAGGGTTTAGGGTTTAGGGTTTAGGGTTTAGTTAGGGTTTTGGGTTTTGGGTTTATGGTTTAGGAATCCTTGAGCACCTTTAACCGAAGAAAACCACAAGTCCTAAACCCCAAACCCCAAACCGCAATCCGAGAACCTTAATCCACTAAACGCCCGAAACCTGCAAAGCAAGCACGAAGCTCGTTCGCCCAGTAAGCTTGGTTAGGCACCCTTTCGGGGGGTTGGTTACTTTACAAGGGAATCCATAACCTTCTCCCCCCCAAAAAAAACAATAAACAAGGGAAAAATGTTACCACCGGGCTATGAGGTACCTTATACCCCCTGTCTGTACCCCGGAAGGTACCTCATTCCCCCAGTACCTTTTGCCCCACCCATATGTTTTTTTTAGGTATACCCTGTAAGGGAGTCTATAGGGTACCTCATAAACCCTAAACCCTAAACCCTCAAACTCTAAACCCTCGACTCTAGACGCTAGACCCTAGACCCTAGACCCTAGACCCTAAACCCTAAACCCTAAACCCTAAACCCCAAACCTTAACCCTAAGAAAGCAAACCCAACGTGTATCGGCGGCCATGGCCTTGGCAAAGCGCTTGCGCACGGAGGGCGTGGCGCCCTCAGCCACCTATTGAGCTTCGCCCTAAACCCAAAGCCCTAAACCCCAAACCCTGAGCCCTAAACCCTAGCCCTAAACCCTAAGCCCTGAACCCTAGAACCCGAAACCCTAAGCCCTAAACCCTGAACCCTAGAACCCGAAACCCTAAGCCCTAAACCCTAAGGCTTGTGGGCGGGGCTTAAACAACTACATTTGTACGTCCCAAAGCCTAAGCAGCACAGGAGTCCCTTTGAATGCAGCCAGGCCGCAGTGAGAGCCACATAAATCCGCCAAAACAGGGTTTAGGGTTTAGGGTTTAGGGTTTAGGGCTTAGGGTTTAGGGTTTAGGGTTTAGGGTTTAGGGTTTAGGGTTTAGGGTTTAGGGTTTAGGGTTTAGGGTTTAGGGTTTAGGGTTTAGGGCTGGGGGTTTAACCCTCCATCCTGAGGAACCTGCTTCCATCCTGAGGAACCGCCCTCTATAACGAGCCCTTGCGCTGCAACAGAAGCCTGAAACGGGAAACCCTAAACCCTAAACCCTAAACCCTACACCCTAAACCCTAAACCCTAAACCCTAAACCCTAAACCCTAAACTCTAAACCCCAAACCCTAAACCCTAAACCTGCCCCAAACCCCAAACCATTAAGCGTAAAGCCTGAACCATAAAGCCTCTAAACCATGAACCCTAGGCCCTAAACCCTCTAAGCCATTGAACCTAAACCCTAAACCCTCTAAACCAGGAACCTAAAGCCTGAACCCGAAACACTTATCCTCCTTGAGGAGCGCGCGTTCTATGAATTAATAAATATAAATAAAAATAAATAAATAAATAAATATATATATATATACATATATATAGACACATATGTATATGTATATATGCACTCACCACTCGCCCTAAGGAGCCTAGGTACACTCGCCAAAGTCTTGGAATGAACCCGACTTCGTATGGGATAAACTTATGATTTCGGGGCCTTATCCCTCCGAAACCCGAAACCAAAGAAAACACATCCGCAGGTGAACTTTTGGCTTTTGTACTGCGGCTGAAAATTTTCAATGTCACGGTCCATGGTTTGGGAAACATATGGAGGCCCAATGTGGGGACCATCCGTGTTCGAGGAACTCGGACTGGGCAAGCGCCGATTGAGACAAGGATGTCTGAGACAAGGATGTCTGCTTGACCGCCACCTGCTCTGCACAGTGTCCATCCCCGCTCGATCCAGCTTTCGGAGGCGCTTTGAAGACCTGTTTCAAAGATGAATTTCTGCCAGCGGCAGCCCAGCCTTGCGACCCAAGGTCCTAAACCCTAAACCCTAAACCCTAAACCCTAAACCCTAAACCCTGGGATGCTTCCTAAAAGTCTGGCGAGCTCGCTCGATGGCCGGCTGCAGCTCAAAGATCCATCCAAGGCCTCTTCCCGCTGCAGTCGGGCCAGCGTCGTGTGAGCCCAGGAAACCCTGAAAATGCACTTTTGGGGCTTACGGTTTAGGATGCTGAGCGAATATCGAGCCCCCCCCCCCCATTTCCTAATGATACAACTATATCTTGCAGAAGGGACTGTAACTTAGATGACTGCCCACAGCAAGCCACTCTCTACTCTCTACATAAGCCTAGGCCTTTGCCGTGTATATATAAGCCCCACGCCCTAAACCCTGACTTAGGGTTTCGGGTTTGGGGTTTGGGGTTTGGGGTTTAGGGTTTAGGGTTTACGGTCTAGGGCTTAGGGTTTTAGGGTTTAGGGTTTAGGGTGTTTAAGGTTTGTGGGGCTCCGCGAGCGGGACCTTATGGTGGTGGTTGATCTGAACCAGCTTCACCTTGCCGACCGTCACCTCCATGGCCTTCCGACGCAGAGGTCCGTGGCCCAAAAGGGGTTCAGGGTTCAGGATTTAGGGTTTAAGGGTTTAGGGTTTAGGGTTTAGGGTTTAGGGTTTAGGGTTTCGGGTTTCGGGCCTAAATCCAGGGAATGGGGGGCGGGTTCAAGACACTAGCGAACACTTACACCTCAACAGGCACTGAAAGAAGCAGACCCTGCGCATACCGCAGGTGGTACATGAAGTAGGTGTATATATTTCTTGTACCCCCAAAAGGACACCCGGTATATATACCCTCACCAATTTTAAAAAGGAACCTTATATACACTCACCAAGAACAGTAATATAAACCCTGCTTCACATGCTTCCACGCCCACACGAACTCATCATTAGCAGCCCCTGCTTCCTAAGCCCGGACAAGCCCAAGACCTGCTATGCATGAAAACCCTAAGCCGTAAAACCCTAAACCCTAAACCCTAAACCCTAAACCCTAAACCCGAAACCCTAAACCCTAAACCCTAACCCCCCTTGGGATGGCCCAATCCACAAAGCGCTCGCAACCTGCAACTCCCGTGACTCCGAAGCCCCTGCCTCGCACTCGTCAGCGGAGGCAAGAAGTTTTGCCATGGAGTTACGATCCTGCACGCCTGCAAGGGTTCAGGGTTTAGGGTTTAGGGTTTAGGGTTTAGGGTTTAGGGTTTAGGGTTTAGGGTTTAGGGTTTAGGGTTTAGGGTTGCAAGGGTTTGTTATAGGGGCTGGTGGATTAGGGATCAGGGTCTGTGGCTTGGGGCTTTGCTGGGTTTGGACGCGTAAGCTCTAGGCCCACAGTCGTGTAGGTCGATCATCGACAAGCTGGCAGGCAGTAGAAACTCTTTCGCAGATACAGGTTAGCTTGGTACCCCAGTGACCATAAAATAATAAGGGCATCCGTTTAAGGTTTAGGGTTAGGGCTTGGGGGTTAGGATTTTGGGGTTCAGGCTCGGTGTCTCGAATGCCCGGCTCGCGGTTCTCAAAGGGCTCCCAAGTTTCAGACAAGAGCGTAGGTGTAGGGCTTCGCGGTGATTGGGCAGGTCATGCTTGAGGGTTTAGGGTTGAGGGTTGAGGGTTTAGGGTTTAGGGCTTCACCACGACATCCGAGCCCCGAAGGGCTCAACACTGACCAAAACCCTAAACCCTAAACCCGAAACCCGAAACCCTAGACCCACACCACCAAACCCCAGACCCACACGCTCCGCGCGCGCTTCAGGGTCTAAGTTCAGGGAGTTGAAATGAGGGACTCTCTAAACTATCTGCTTCTTTGGCGGTCCTTATTACAAGGCGGCCTCTGTTCTTTAGGGCACCCAAAAAGGGACCATCCTCTTGAGAACTCGCTTAGATATTCATGGCTGAGGTTTTCTGTGCGTTTAGGGTTTAGGGTTTAGGGTTTAGGGTTTAGGGTTTAGGGTTTAGGGTTTAGGGTTTAGGGTTTAGGGTTCAGCGCTTCAGGTCTCGGAGCCTCCTGCGAGGTTAGAGATCAAGGCGCGAAGGCTCTGCATCCGACATCCTCTCAGAATATGTACATCCTAAGACCGTCAAGCCCGAAATCTCCAACCCCCGAACCTTCTAGACCCTCCACCTCGCATCCAAATCCCGAAACGACCTTGAGGATTCACGGCCATAATGGTGCTGCCGTCCGGAAACTTCTCGCACACCAGGACGTTGCCATCCTGCAACGAGACGGAGCGGCACCCCAAAAGTTCAGGGATATTCGGGGAGGGGGGGGGGGGGGGGGGTTAGTTTATGGTTTAGGGTTTAGGGTTTAGGGTTTAGGGTTTAGGGTTTAGGGTTTAGGGTTTAGGGTTTAGGGTTTAGGGTTTAGGGTTTAGGGTTTAGGGTTTAGGGTTTAGGGTTTCGGGTTTAGGGTTTAGGGTTTAGGGTTTAGGGTCATGCCGAGGGCCTGAAGCAACTCTTCCGATCTCAGGCTTTCTGGCTTTAGGTTCCCTGAGCTGCAAGCAAGCCCCCCATGTGATGCTTCCGAGGTGGCGAGCCGCGACCCCAAGGGACAACATTGAGGTTTAGGGTTTCGGGTTTTTTTGGGCCTTAGGATACTCATTGTTGAAACTTGCCAATCTAGGGGCCTGAATAATTAGAAAACGGTTTTTTTGGGGGGGTGAGAATAATGAAATTACAAAGGGACCATAAGGGAATACTATTGGCAAGTATTCCGACCCCTATATTGGGCTTGCGGAAGTGGTCCAGAAGCAAACGCTTGGCACTTGGGATGTTTCATGGTAGGAGGTGGCATAATATAGGGGCCAGAATAGGTACTAGCAATGTTCCCTTCGGGTCCCTTTATAACTATACTATAATGACCCCCCCCCCCCCAAAAAAAAAAAAAAAAGAAACCTCTTCTAATTATTCAGGCTCCAGTAAGGGCTCTGGCTTCCTCTTGCAGACAGCTGACCCCTCGGCGCAGAGCCTGACAAGAGAACCGAATCCCATCAACCTTGTCCAGCGGTGGAGCTTACTTGCAGGTAGGTTGCAATTCCCTCACAATGGGGTTGCACGAACATCAGGGACCCCTAATTAAGTCCCCTCAAATAGTAGGACTCCCTTGCAATAAGGACCCCAATAGGGTACCCGAATTTCGGACATCCCCAAATGAGCGCCATGTAAAATCGAGGGAATGCGCCCCAAGCCTGCCAAAGAAGTGCTGCAAAGAAGCTCTGTCCGGGTTTTAGAGCTCAACAACATTGGAGAAAATATGTTGAAATAACAATAACCGAGTAGACTCAAATGAATTATAGTACAACCACTAGAACACTGCAATACGATAACGCTGAAATGCTAGAACGCTGCAATACTCTCACGCGATAAGACTGTACGACGACATTGCTTTCTTACTTTAATACTACAAGACTAGAATTGGTATAATGCCATCATCATACTATAATCCTATAACCCTAAAGTCCTAATCCTATGATACTAAAATCCTATAAAACCATGATACGATGATGCTATGACATTATAATACTTCTATAATACTATAATACTATAATACTATAATACTATAACACTATAATACAATAATACTATAGTACTATAATACTATAATACTATAATACTATAATACTATAATACCATAATACCATAATACCATAATACTATAATACTATAATACTATAATACTATAATACTATAATGCTATAATGCTATAATACTATAATACTATAATACTATAATGCTATAATACTGTAATACTTTTCTAGATACTATAATGCGATAATACTATAACACTATAATACTATAATTCTTTCTTCCGAAAAATACGATAAGACGATAATACTATCATGCTACTATATTACTAGAATACTATAATAGTACATTATAAAAATACTATAATACTACAATACTATGATAATACTGTAGTACGAGAATACTACAAGGCTGTCATGCTGTAACCACGCCTGCGTCTCGAGGACGACGTAGAAGTGGCAGTAGTCCAGCCGCTTGCTGGACCATTTCCTTAGTTCTTTAGGGCCTTTTTTTAGGGGCGGGGTGTGGGGTGGATGCCGTAACCCTAAACCTTATGCTGGAAGCCCTAAACCCTAAACCCAAACCCTAAACCCTAGATCCTAGGGCCTAGGGCCTGGGGCTAGGGCCCAGGCCCCAGAAGGTCCTGAAGCGAATGTCAACGAAGAACTACCGGACACCAGCAGGGCTTCGAGATTAGGGCTTGGGACCGTCGGATTTCGGGTTGAAGGAGGGAGGGTTTAGGGTTTCGGGTTTGGGGTTTGGGGTTCAGGGTTTAGGGTTTAGGGCTGAGGGGCGCTCAGGGGGTCTTCACCCGAAACCTAAAGAATACTCAGAGAAGCCCTCCAACAGGGTTTGAAGCTGCAGCCCTTTAGGCTGCCCCGGTGGCGCCGTCACCCTCCTATCGGGGCCGGTGGATGAATGGGTATTTTGGCTAACCTTGCGGGTGTCTGTGCCTATCTAGTAGATACCTGGTCCCTGAAGCTACCACATAGGAACCCCTATAATGCATTCGTACATGCACCCTTAAGGTACTGCAGGCTGAAGCTGTCTGTCGCTAGGCGATTCACGATGTTTGGCATGCCCAAATAAAGAGCGCATGGTCCAACAGGGCAGGGACTCTTTATTCAACAAAAATATACATGTGTACATGTATATCATGAATTTATTGAATTTATTGAGTTATGTGTTGATCCATTTATATCATTATCACTGTCGCTGTCAGAACTGTCACTGTTTATGGTTAAATCAATTGATAAAGAATTGGATTTATTTGATTGTGGTGTTGGATGATAACAAATTACAATTCATATACATCACCATCAAAACATGTCATATCATATCGTGTAGTTATGTATGTATATACTATGTACACATATATATATATATATATACTATGTACACATATATATATATATACACATATCTATCTATAGAATAGGGGACTTTATGAATAGGAGGAAAATGTTGCCGACTATTGAGGCTCCAGCACTTGGCGGGCAAACAGGCTCAAGGCTACGCATACCCAAGCTGACTTCTTGACTGCACATGAAGCGAAGGGAAAGGAAAGTATGCCCAAACCTAAACCCTACACCTCTAAACCATAAATGGCTCTTGAGTCATGTACTCTCAAACACTTAGCCCGAAAATTTCCCAGTCGCAGGCTGCTGTGGGGGTGTGGGGAGGGGGGGTAAGCAGATGGACACCATTTCTGCATGATTTGCGTGCTGGCGCCCGTCTACCTTCCTGCACGACCACGCCAACGTCGAGCCGGGCACTGAATTCCCGCGACAGCCATCGAGTTCTGACTCGCCCTGTGCCATCGAGTTCTGACTCGCCCTGTGCTCGCCTTGTGCTTCCCGCCAGTCCTGCATGTCCGGTAGATACGCCTTGTTTCGGGTGGGGGCGGGGCGGGGGGGGGGGAGGGGGGGTGGAGGGGGAGGGGGGGGAGGGGGGGGGGGAGGGGGGGAGGGGGGGGGGGAGGGGAGGGGGGGGGGGGGGGGGGGGGGGGAGGGGGGGGAGGGGGGGGGGGCGGCGGGGGAGGGGGGGAGGGGGGGGAGGGGGGGGAGGGGGGGAGGGGGGAGAAGGAGGGGGGGAGGGGGGGAGGGGGGGAGGGGGGGAGGGGGGGGGGAGGAGGGGGGGGGAGGAGGGGAGGGGGGGATGGGGGGGGGGGAGGGGGGGAGGGGGGGGAGGAGGGGGGGAGGGGGGGAGGGGCGGGGGGGAGGGGGGGAGGGGGGGGGGGGGGGAGGGGGGGGGGGGGGGGGAGGGGGGAGGGGGCCAGGGGGGGAGGGGGGCAGGGGGTGGGAGGGGGGGAGGGGGAGGGGGGAGGGGGGGGGGGAGGGGGGGAGGGGGGGGTGGGAGGGGGGGGGGGGAGGGGGGAGGGGGGGGGAGGGGGGGAGGCGGGGAGGGGGGAGGGGGGGAGGGGGGGAGGGGGGGGGAGGGGGGGAGGGGGGGAGGGAGGGGGGGAGGCGGGGGAGGGGGGGGGGGAGGGAGGGGGGGGAGGGGGGGGCGGGGGGGAGGGGGGGAGGGGGGGAGGGGGGGGGAGGGAGGGGGGGGAGGGGGGGGGAGGGGGGGACGGGGGGGAGGGGGGGAGGGGGGGAGGGGGGGAGGGGGGGGGAGGGGGGGAGGGGGGGAGGGGGGAGGGGGAGGGGGAGGGGGGGGGGAGGGGGGGAGGGGGGGGCGGGGGGGAGGGGGGGGGGAGGGGGAGGGGGGAGGGGGGGGAAGGGGGGGGGGAGGGGGGGAGGGGGGGGGGAGGGGGGGAGGAGGGGACGGGGGAGGGGGGGAGGGGAGGAGGGGGGGAGGGGGGGGAGGGGGGGGGAGGGGGGGAGGGGGGGAGGAGGGGGTCAGAGCCGAAGTTGCAGGGACACTTGCGAGCAAGCGCCCATCCACGTCGCGACCTACTTCGGCAGGGCCAGACCTGCTGGTTTACAGGTTTATAGGGCTTAGGGTTTAGGGTTTAGGGTTTGGGGTTCAAAGTTTAGGGTTTCGGGTTTAGGGTTTAGGGTTTAGGGGGTAGGGTTGAATGAGCCAACCCACCTCACGAACTCCAAAGCCCACCTTTCTTTGTAGGTGATAGCTTGAGACGACCCAATCCTAAACTCCGAACTCTCCTTTAGGAAGTTCTTTAGAAATCGACAACAAAGCAGGTTGTTTTTTGTTGTGGGGGGGGGGGGGGGGGGGGAAGGGGCATGGACCCAAGGGAAAGGGGGGGGGGGGGGGAGGGGGGGGGGGGAGGGGGGGAGGGGGGGAGGGGGGAGGGGGGGAGGGGGGGGAGGGGGGGAGGGGGGGGGGGGGGAGGGGGGGAGGTGGGGAGGGGAAGGGGGGGAGGGGGGGAGGGGGGGAGGGGGGAGGGGGGGAGGGGGGAGGGGGGAGGGGGGGGAGGGGGGGGAGGGGGGAGGGGGGGAGGGGGGGGGAGGGGGGGAGGGGGGAGGGGGGAGGGGGGGAGGGGGGGGAGGGGGGGAGGGGGGGAGGGGGGGAGAGGGGGGGAGGGGGGGCGGGGGGGAGGGGGGGAGGGGGGGAGGGGGGGAGGGGGGGAGGGGGGGAGGGGGGGAAGGGGGAGGGGGGAGGGGGGGGAGGGGGGGAGGGAGGGGGGGAGGGGGGGAGGGGGGGGGGCGGGGGGGGGAGGGGGGGGAGGGGGGGAGGGGGGGTGGGAGGGAGGGGGGGGGAGGGGGGAGGGGGGGAGGAGGGGGGAGGGGGGGAGGGGGGAGGAGGGGGGAGGGGGGGAGGGGGGGGAGAGAGGGGGGGAGGGGGGGAGGGGGGGAGGTAGGGGGATGGGGGGAGGAGGGGAGGGGGGGAGGGGGGGGGGATGGGGGGGGGAGGGGGGGGAGGGGGGAGGGGGGGAGGGGGGGAGGGGGAGAGGGGGGAGCAGGCTTCTACATCGTCATAGGGTCCGTAAGAGGGGAGTGCGGAGTACGGGACCTAAAGCGTCTTAGAAAAATTTTTTCAGAGAGCCACTCCGAATAGTGGGCTGCTCGCACTTTGGTGAAGGTTCCAAACCCCTGCACCCGAACTGGAGGCTGCCACGAAGGTCCCAGTGGCCCGTCGAGCTGGCGTGCGGACTCGGCATCCAGGGCCTGGACACCACGTTTGCTTTGCGGAGGCTCTAGGTGAGCCTTGATGGGCAGTTCTGTGTTCCTTAGCTTTGGAGTAGGCCCTGGAAAAAAAGTATATACTTTTTAGGTATAATTTGCTATAACAGGAGCCCAAGACCATAAAAAAGTATTAAAGTATAGTACTCCAAGACCCAGGTTCTGACCGAAACTCTAAAAAGGTACCTGTACCACTTATAGAACTAGGAAAGCCCCATGCTACACGGAACCCCACAAAAACTGCAAGTCTAAACCCTACACCCTAAACCCGAAACCCTAAACCCTGAACCCTAAACCCTAAACCCAGTTCGCGCCCCCACCCAGGGGCTGGAAGCTAGCGCGCCTCGACATAAATCTGCCCGCGCGCGACCTTCTCCTCGTCACGCACAGGCTTGCCTCTTTTCCGCTGGGGTTCAGAGCTTGGGGGTTTAGGGTGCAGGGCACTAAACCCTAAACCCTAAACCCTAAACCCTAAACCCTAAACCCTAAACCCTAAACCCTAAACCCTAAACCATGCACTGGTTCTTGAGAGGGAACAAGGGAATGAGGTAGGAATTCGGTAACCTACAGAATCCGCCTTAACGAGTCCAAGGTTCTAAGTATGGGCCCCTGCTTTGGGTCCCTTGTTGCATATCCCTTTGATACACCTTATAACAAGGGCCCGTCCTTCGGATCCCTAAAAGAAAACCCCGAACCCCTGACCCTTTAACCCCTAAACCCTAAACCCAAAACCCTAAACCCTAAACCCTAAGGGTAAGGGACCATACTATGTGGGCGCCCAACCTTAGACTGTGGAGCTTGAGGGAGGGATTCGGTTTTAGGTGCTAGGGGCTTAACCCTTGCAAACCCTAAATCCTAAACCCGAAACCCTAAACCCTAAACCCTAAACCCTAAACCCTGTAAGCCCTAGACTCGCCAAACCCCCTAAAGCTCCGAAAAAGCCCAACGCTCCCATAAATCCCCTAAACCCTAAACTCTAAACGGATACACCCCTACGGGCGCTATGAACCTCTATGTCCCCTACACCCCCTAAACCCTAAACCTCGAAACCCTAAAACTTTGGGATGTTCACCCTTCTGCTCACAGTCCTTAAACAGGATAAAAAGTACAATCTCCCTTAACCTCGACTAAGGACTGTTAGTATAAGGGGACACATCCCAACCCGGAACCCCAAACCACCTAGAAATCTACAAACCCTAGACGCCCCTGAGCCAGGTTGCCTGCTCGACTCGACAGGTTCCAGGAGGGTGCGCGCAGGGAGAAGACGACACCGACCTTGGGTGTCAGTTTTGGGGGGTTTGTTTGGGGGGCGTTGGGGGGTTTTGCGGGGTTTGAAGACTACAGCGACCTTGGGTCAGTTTGAGGGTTTTCGTTTGGGGGTTTTTGGGGGGGTTTGAGGGTATTAGGGTTGTGAGGACTTGGGGGTTTAAGGGTTTTTTCAGGCTTTAAGGGCATTAGGGTTTTCAGGACTTGGGGGTTCGAGGGGTTCAGGCTTTAAGGGCATTCGGGTTTTCAGGACTTGGGGGGCTCAAGGGTTTGAAGGTTTTTGGAGTTTGGGGCTCGTTCGGAATTTTGCATGCTTAACGGGGGGTCAGGGCTCTTTGGGGTTGTAGAGGGGAAGGGTGGCTCCGAGGTTTCTGCGCCTTCAAGGTGTTTGTTGATGCTCTGTAGCGTTCGAAGGTTTTATGGTACCAGGGAGTTTGATATTTCTTTTGGGCCGGTTGGGGCTTTAGGCCAAACGCTCAAGGATGTACGTAGGGTTTAGGTCTAGCGTGAAACTTACTTAGACTAAGGGCTTGGGTGCTGCACTCGGTTTCGGAGTTGGCGTAGGGTTTAACGTCCTAGCATCACGTCTACATCTCAAACGACTAGACCCATAAGCCCACCCCGCATGTCATATGTCCCACCTGCACTACAAGCCCACGGAAAACTCTATGAGCCCTATACCGTCAGCCACAAGAAGATGAAGTCTTATATGCGAAGTTACTATCTCAGTGAAACGTTATATCGTATGTATGTATACACGTGTATAAAACGCTTCAGCCCCAGAAGAAACCAATGCACATCCCTTCTCGTAAAGCCCTCTCAGGGCATCAAAGCCTCAAACAATTACTTTTAATCAAGCTGTAAGGCACTCTGCCCTTAGAGCCATGTGGAACCATTGGTACCATGTATGTATATGTACATATATGTATGTATATGTATATGTATATGTATATGTATATGTATATGTATATACATGTTATATACCGTATATACCCAACTAGAATAGCCCTGTAGACTCGATAAGCGTTGCAAGCCCGCTGACCTACCCTAGAAATAAAAGGCCCAGCAAACCCAGGCGAAACCTTTAAACGCACCCTAGAATCCCTGTAAACCCTGAACAAGAATCTGTACCCCATCATACACCCCTCTAAACCCCTTGAAAAAACCGAACCCTCAGACACGGCCCAGAAGTCAAATTCTTCCCCCCCTCTCCCCCCAAATCAAGTACAAGCTGCAGTCTCTGGCCCACCAAGCTCCTTTCAAAAGGCATTAGGATTGCAGGATGCAGGACCTTCAGGTTGTCGGGCCTGTTGGGTTTAGAGGTCATGCCAGTCCAGAGTCCAGGCTTCGGGTGTGATTGTGTGGTTTCAGGAGTCAAGGGTGCATGGTCCTTTGGGAATACTAGGGGCCGTTTGGCTTACCTGCCCTCGCCACTGCATCAACCCATTTGGGAAGCCGACAAAGTGTCAGACCACTTCCAGGAGTTCAATAGCACTCTAAAGAGTTCAAGGGGACGGGGACGACAGTTCTGCACTCACGAGGACCACGCGCACGGGATGAAGGTGGAATGGTGCGAAATGCAACTCCCTTAGAACGGACACAGCAGACTTTCCTGCCACGATTTCGCAACACCGAGCTAAAAAAGAGTAGTTTAGGGTTTAGGATTTACTGCAAGTGCTGTTTGAAGGGCCCGTCCTGGATGGTGCGTACTTCCAAGTTGCCAAGACGGTAGATGCGGAAGGTAGCCCCATCCTGGAGGCGGGGTCTTTCAGGTCAGGGCTTTTAGGGGTAACATAGATTGCCTTACCTGACTACTGATTGCTTCAGAACCCCGAACAAATAAAGACTATTCTTCCTTGTTAAGGGTAATCTAGGGATTCTTACTTTTTATTCTTTTGGGGTTCTTAAGCAAATAGTAGCTGCCTCACCTGTAACAGTTTCTACTACTCTGCTTCATGCAAGGACTCTAGGGTGTCCAGCGTTTCGGGCGTATTTCGGGGACTGGGCTGAAGGTGTACAGTACATGCTTCAGGACACCTAGGAAGCCCCGTGATCCTTAGGGGTACCGTTGTGGCTAACCCTAAACCCTAAACCCTAAACCCTTCTGGGGCCAAGGGTTCCCCAAAAACACTTAAGTCAAAGAAAAACGAGCTTTCGCGAAGGGTTTCGTTCCTGCCCCAGGGCTTTGGGTGAAGCCCCCGACTCTGAAACCTCTCACCCTAAACCCTAAACCCTAAACCCTAAACCCTAAACCAGGGACCAAACAACAAACTTATGGCCCAATGCTCTTGAATTGAGGAGAGTTTGGGGAGGATAAGGAGTTCAGGGCTTAGGGCTCTTGATTCTTCAGGTCGTCCAAGGGTGAATGTGTTCTAGGAGGGGCTACGTATAAGGGGCATGTGCGAGAAACAGCTCTCCGCGTGAGAACGCGCCTCCAGGTCAGCTCGTTTCCTACCTCTGAAAAAAAGGTTCTAGGGATTGATATGGTTTGGTAGGGTTCAGGATTTAGGTTTGGGGTTTAGGGTTTAGGGTTTAATTAGGTTTAGGGTTTAGGGTTTAGGGTTTAGGGTTTAGGGTTTAGGGTTTAGGGTTTAGGGTTTAGGGTTTAGGGTTTAGGGTTTAGGGTTTAGGGTTTAGGGTTTAGGGTTTAGGGTTTAGGGTTTAGGGTTTAGGGTTTGGGGTTTGGGGTTTAGGGTTTTGGGGCGGCAATGCATCAGCACCTAAGAACCGCCTCCGTGGTCTTGTTGAACTCTGGCGCAGCCGTGGGCAGGATGTCGTTCTGGGCGAGAGTTTGGGGGCTGTTTAGGGTTTAGGGTTTAGGGTTTAGGGTTTCGGGTTTCGGGTTTAGGGTTTAGGGTTTTAGGGTTTTAGGGTTTTAGGGTTTTAGGTTTAGGCTTTAGGGTTTAGGGTTTAGGGTTGAGTTATTTAGGGTTCAGCGTTACAAGTATGTAGTTGGACCGCGGGGCGTCCTTGCCCGTGTGCTCTTCGGCACTTTTCGGCTGGAAACCTATGCCTTTTTCGGGTTTTTCTCCTTTTCCGAGGCCTCCGTCACCTGAAGTTTTTCAAGCCCTTTTCAACACGCGTTTTTTTTTCGGGTTTTTGCTTTTGGACACTTTTCCGCTCTTGGCTGTGCGTTTCTTCGGGTTTTTGTCTGATTTTCTCTGTTGTTTGCACCTTTTTTTTCTTATATTCTTGTTTTTGTTTGTTTCTCTGTCGTTTTTTCTCGCCTTTTCCGGACTCTGTTTTTTCCGTGTTTTGGCTTTCGGCCACTTTTTTTGGTCTTCTTCCATGCCACTGCCGGCTCCGGCCAGCCTGTGCCTGCTGAGGGCAGCCCTGGCTCTGCTGAGGACGTCTGACTTGCATCCGTGTTCCTCTTGCGTGCGAATCCATGTCCGCACGATGATTCCGTTCGTGTTACCACTGCGTGCGAATGGCCAGAGCATCCATGCCCGCACGATGAGAACGTCCGTGTTACCACTGCGTGCGAATGGCCAGCGAACTTTGGGGCTTGCCATTTCACATGGATGACTTTCAAGTTGTGAGTCCTAAACTACTTCATTTTGGTAGCACTTTTTTTGGCGTTTCTCTCAAATACCGCCCCTGCCAGTGGTTTCGGCCTTCAGCCTCAGAAAACTGCTTGTCCCGTACCACGGGCAAAAAAAACCCACGCACCATATAGCTCGGGCAGCTTGAACTGATCCTGGGCTTGGACACCTATCGCTTCGCTCGTCAACTGAATCAAAATTGCTCAGCCTGAACCGACGAAGATTTCAGGGTTGAGGGTTTAGGTTTAGGGTTTAGGGTTTAGGGTTTAGGGTTTAGGGTTTAGGGTTTAGGGTTTAGGGTTTAGGGTTTAGGGTTTAGGGTTTAGGGTTTAGGGTTTAGGGTTTAGTTAAACCCTAATTGAGGATGCTGAACCCTAAACCCAAAGCCCCAAACCCTAAACCCTAAATCCCCGGAAACCCCCAAAGCGCAAAACCTAACCCCTAAAGAGTAAACCCTAAACCCTAAAACCCTAAACCCTCAACCCTTAGACCCCTAAACCCCTAAAACCCTAAAGCCTGGGCCCTAAACCCTAAACCCCAAACCCTAAACCTTGCCAAGGCTTCACACTCCCCCAAAAAACCCGAATTTTCCCACCCAATATAGGATGGCCCTTAACATTCCTGAATAATATTCCTGAGTATGATCCTGAACCCTAAACCCTAAACCCTAATCCCTAAACCCTAAACCCCAAACCCTAAACCCTAAACCCTAAACCCTAAACACAATAAGGGAAAATGCAAAATGCCCCACAGGCCTTCCTAGTAATCCCGGGAGCCAAGGTGCCAACAGCGCCTGCTGGAAGGTTCCATCGACCTGCCATCCGCTACAGGGTTTAGGGTTTAGGGTTTAGGGTTTGGGGTTTGGGGTTTAGGGCGTAGGGTTTAGGGTTTTAGGGGCCGAAGCAAACCAATTAATTGTACAACGATTGGCATGTAAACTGGCTTTTTAGGTCTTTAGGGTCTGTTTTCCTTGAGGTTTGAGGGAAGGTCCGTGTGTAGCTTTAAGCAAGGTTATGAGTAACATGCATCATCATGCACAACATTACGTGGTTTGAGCCAGAATCAAGTAAATTGCATCCAGAGCAAAAAGCACAAGCCCCTGCCTCCTAGAACTCCCATTGCAAGCCGCTCAGCGATTTGCTTTAGGGTTTAGGATTTAGGGTTCAAGGTTTAGGGTGTAGGGTTTCGGGCTTAGGGCCCCAAATGCCACACCCTAGCTTGGAATTAGAGCTCTGCCAAACAACTTATTTCTAAATGAGACCTCCGATTTCCAGTGAGGGCAATGTAAAACAGCCCGGCCGCCACAACCACAAATCAACAAGCCCAAAGCTCTAAACCTGAACCCCCCACACCCCGTACAGCCTAAACCCCTCGAGCTTCTGCATCCTACCCTAGCCAAAGACTGAATCCTTTATATTCACCTCAAACCCGAAACTTCCTAAACTTCCTAAGCTTCCTAGCTTCCTAAGCTTCCTGAGCTTCCTAAGCTTCCTAAACACTAAACCCTAAACCCTGAACCCTGAACCCTAAACCCTAAACCCTCCCCAACTCCCCCCCCCCCCCCTCTTCCACACCTGGAGCTCCACCAGCGCCGACTTCATCGCCTGCAAGGCTGCCGGGGAGCAGCCGTTGTCCTTGGCTCGTAACATCTTCGGGCTTTTGGGCTCGGAAGGCCCTAAACCCCGAACCCCCAAAACCCCAGGGTTTAGGGTGTAGGGTTTAGGGTTTAGGGTTAGGGTTTCGGGTTTCGGGTTTAGGGTTTGAGCTCATTCTGCTGGGCTTAGGAAGTCAAGGCTTGGGGAGATAGGGTCAGGGCGTGGATGTTCGTGGGGGTTTAGAAGTTAGGCGAATCCAGGTGCTTTATTCCCCGCCCTCGGTGCGGGGTTGTTAGATTTTAAACTCAACTCTTCTCCTCGCCCGGAACTCTTCTCCTGGCTCATCTCTGGAGTGCGCAACCCCAGAGTGTCCCTGGAGTGCCCAACCCTGAGGGTCCCTGGAGTGCCCACCCCAAAGTGTCCCTAGAGTGCCCAATCTCAGAGTGTCCCTGGAGTGCTCAACCCCAGAGTATCACTACCCAGAGAGGGCGGGGATGTTCGAAGTAGAATAATTCTAGTATATTCTTTCTTTGAGCGGGAGGGAATTAATGTAATCCCAGCTGCAGACCTTAAACCCCAGTTAGGGTTCAGGGTTGAGGGTTGCTTGAAAAAAGTGCGTTTGTAAGGGAGCAAAGAAACCCAACGTTGCTGCTGCATATCCTCGGCCCTGAGCTCCACAACCTGCCCACAACCCGAAGCCCGAGCCCTGAAACCTCGGCATTTGGTGGTTTCGGGTTTGCAGTAAACTCCAAAAAGTTGGAACATCCTTATCCCCATACCCGAGAAGGTACATTAAAGGAAAGCCCAGCTCTCATCATCCGTAAGCCATGTTCCAACTTTCCGGAGTTTGCTGTAGGGCCTCGAGATAGTAAGTTAGGATTGGGGGATAAGGGTAGTTCAGGACCAGAAACCACATTAAACTGAGAGTGCCCCTGCTGGGCTGGGTACTTTATCAGGGAACCTAGAACCCTAAACCCTAAACCCTAAACCCTAAACCCTGAACACTGAACCCAAAACCCTAAACCCTAAACCCTAAACCCTGAACCCTAAACCCTAAACCCTAAACCCGAAACCCTAAACCCTAAACCCCAAACCCCAAACCCTAAACCCACTGGCCCGCCAAGAGGCGACCTTGAAGCCCGAGGTCCACGAGCGCGGGAAGTCGGAGCCAGCGTTGCCTTGTTCCGACGTTCAAGCGAAGAGCGGGGGGGGAGGGGGGGGGGGGGTTTAGGTTAGGGTTTAGGGTTAGGTTTAGGGTTTTTAGGGTTTAGGGTTTAGGGTTTAGGGTTAGGGTAGGGTTTTTAGGGTTTAGGTTTAGGTTTAGGGTTTTAGGGGTTTAGGGTTTAGGGTTTAGGGTTTAGGGTTTAGGGTTTAGGGTTTAGGGTTTAGGGTTTAGGGTTTAGGGTTTAGGGTTTAGGGTTTAGGGTTTAGGGTTTAGGGTTTAGGGTTTAGGGTTTAGGGTTTGGGGTTTGGGGTTTAGGGTTTCGGGCTCGAACCCCTAAACCCCCATAAAACCCCTAAACCCCTAAACTTAGGGGCTGAGGGTTTTGGGCCAGGGCGGGGGTTGATAGGGTGTAGTGGGCTCGCCAGCCAAGCTGCCAGGCACGAACGAGCGATCGCAGAAGCTGACCTTCCTCTTCCTGGGAAGTCTGGCTGGTGCTTTGTAGGGAATGAGGTACCTATGTAATTACTCCCCGGTTGTGGTGGTGGTTGTGGTTGTGGTTGTTGTGGTTGTGGTGGTTGTGGTGGTTGTGTGGTGGTTGTGGTGGTTGTGGTGGTTGTGGTGGTTGTGGTGGTTGTGGTGGTTGTGGTGGTTGTGGTGGTTGTGGTGGTTGTGGTGGTTGTGGTGGTTGTGGTGGTTGTGGTGGTTGTGGTGGTTGTGGTGGTTGTGGTGGTTGTGGTGGTTGTGGAGGTTGTGGTGGTTGTGGTGGTTGTTGTGGTTGCTGTGGTTTGTGTGGTTGTTGTGGTTGTTGTGGTTGTTGTGGTTGTTGTGGTTGTTGTGGTTGTTGTGGTTGTTGTGGTTGTTGTGGTTGTTGTGGTTGTTGTGGTTGTTGTGGTTGTCGCGGTTGTCGCGGTTGTCGTGGTTGTTGTGGTTGTTGTGGTTGTTGTGGTTGTTGTGGTTGTTGTGGTTGTGGCGCTTGTGGTGGTTGTAGTGGTTGTGGTTGTTGTGGTTGTTGTGGTTGTTGTTGGTAGAAACAAAGACTGGAGCTCCGTCCTTGTTGCCTGCGTATAAAGGCTGCGATGAAAGCAGGATTGGATGTTACTGGTAGCGTGCAGCTGCAGTGCCAGTGCTTTCGGGAGCTCTAAACCAACACATATCTGTCCTAACCCCAAACATGACACTTGTTTCGATTCGGGTTCTAGGTAGCTGTTTACAGCAGGGCTCCTTCTGAGAACACACACACACCCCCCCTTCCGAACAAAACAATGAACGGCCGCCCACATGCTTGTGGAGGCAGGGTAGGCTACCCTAACCCCTAAACCCTAATCCCTAAACCCTAAACCCCGTGAAGGAGATTGTTCTAGGGGCGCTGAAGCCGTTGGCTCGAACCTCGCTAGTTCTCTGTAGGGACTTTGCGAACTAGGTACCTCACATCCCCCTGACAAAAACCCGTCGGGCACCTAATTCGCAAAACCGAAACCCCAAACCCCAAACCCCAAACCCCAAACCCCAAACCCCAAACCCTAAACCCTAAACCCCAAAGCCCAAACCCTAAACCCTAAGGTCAGGGACCGTGTGATCTGGCAGACAGGGGGCTTGAAGAGAGCCTGTTCCTCACTGATCAGGCTCCGCATCTTTGAAACCTGACTCCGGGCATCTTTAGGGTTTAGGGTCTGGGGTTTAGGGTTTCTTTGGGTTCAGGGTTTAGGAATGAGGGGTTTAGGGGTTTAGGATTTAAGTGTTTAGGGTTTAGGATTTAAGGGGTTTAGGGGTCTAGGATGTAGGGCTTGGGTTTAGCGTTTAGGGCTCCGCGCAAGAAACGCCATAAACCCGAGACTTACTCTACACCCTGAACCCCGAACAGGCCCTGAGCCCTCGAACCCTCACCCTCAACCAGAAGCCTTTCAAGGTTCCCGTGAGGGAACTCAACCTAAACTGCCATGCGCTGGATTCAGCCACCCCAAGAAAGTGTGTTTCCGAAAATATGGTAACCCCAAAACCCTAAACCCTAAACACTAAGCCGACAGCAGCCTGGAAAACCGGAAGCCCTCACAATGTTGTCACACCCTCCACCGCAGCCATGGCGGCATAAGAGAGACTGGGGTTCGGCGGGATGAAGGCGTCCCCCTCCTCGAGACCTTCAGGCTCTAATAGTTAAAACCCTTTGGGGGAAGGGAGGCTTAGACCCCTCTGCGATTCAAACACTTCAGGCTATGACTAATTTCCTCACCTCAGTTTCCGGAACTAACAAGAAGCCCATCGCTTTTTGGTTGATAAGGGTACTTGGTTGCAATAAACCTGACAAGGGAAACAAGGTCTTAGGGGAGTTACATGGTTTCTTTAGCATGGGCCCTCAAAAAGGGGACCCCTCATGTACCCCTAATATACCCTTTATATTTAACTATACCCTTAGACTGGACCCAGGAGTAAACTAGGACTAAAAAGGCTACCCTTTTTGGTTGTAAGGGGATTCATAAGGGAACCCCAATCCTAAAAAAGGAAATAAGGGCCTACTCCGGGTCCTAGTAGACGAGGGCACCAAGGGGGCTGCTAGAGTTCAGGATACCTGAGATTCGTCGAACGCCCTGCGCCCTCCTGAGCAACCTGGGCCCCAAAGGTCCTAGCACTGAAAGATAGGTTCAACCCGGCAATTCGAATAAAGGTTTAGGGTTTAGGGTTTAGGGTTTAGGGTTTAGGGTTTAGGGTTTAGGGTTCAGGGTTCAGGGTTTAGAGTTTACTCCTAAATTCTCCCAAACTCTGAACCAGGGCCGAGGAAAAGCAGCCCAATTACGCTGCTCCCAGACGCCTAGGCTCAATACTCCAGAACTCGCAACATCCCCCACGTTGGGCCCATGGCAAGTTCTACATTCCTAAGCCCGAAACCCCAAGCTCTTTCAGATGCCAGGTTGCGGTCGGCCATCGTGGGGTTAAACATGCACCGAAGGAGGCGCAGGTCCTGACTTGCAGGGCTTCGAAGAGATAGGGTTTAGGGATTAGGGTTTAGGGTTGAGGGTTTAGGTAGGGATTAGGGTTTGGGTTAAGGGTTTAGGGTTGATGGACATTGTAGCCTAAGGGTCCATGTACCTACATAGAATATACTTGGGCCTGAAAGCTACCATGTGGGAACTCCTTTCAGGCCAGACTATATACGATACAGTTTCCTGGACCCTTAGGGGTATAGGGCTTCCCAGAAAAACTTGGACCGACGCATACTGCGGCAGCGGTTGACCGAAACATGTTTTCCGACTTTTCTGACCGAAACTTGTTGGCCGAATTGCTGCAAGAAGAAGGGCTCCCTTCACCCTCAACTCTCAGCCCTAGACTAAACCCTAAAGCCCTCGAGCTCAAAAACCCTTAAGGCCTGTCAGGGCTGAAACCCTAAAGCCCCCAAGCCCTAAGACCCTGAAACTCTACTACGACCTTTAGGCCCAACCTCTGAGCTCGCGACCGACCCTTGGACCCTACTACGACACCCGATCCTCAAGTTAACCCATGGGCCCCAAGGGCTCAAAAGGAACCATGGGCCCCAAAGGGCTCACAAGGAACCATGGGGCCCTAAAGGGAGCATGGGCCCTTAGGGAGCTCAAAAGGAACCCATGTGCCCCAAGGGCTCCCCACAAAAAAACATGGTCCCAAGAAAGAGAGGAACCATGGGGCCCGAAAGGGCTCAAAAGGAACCATGGGTGCTAAGAGCTCAAAAGGAACCATGGACCATCCTCCTCCTTGATCGTGCGGTACGTGCCCTCGCGCAAGCTCTGCAGGAAGGCCTTTCAGGTTGTCGCTGAGTCTTAACCCCTGAGCCCTTACCTGATGAGTTCAGGATTAAGGGATTGGGGTTTAACACCCAACAACACCTGAAAACCAACTGAAAACCACATACAAACCCCAACACCCTAAACCATGTAACCCTAAATCGCCGAAGCAAAGCTTGCAGAGACAACCTGCTACTCTTCTTGCGACATGTGGTCTTGCGGGTCCTGTTTCTTGGGGAGGCTCTTCGCCCTTAACCATAAAATCCTTAAGTTCAAGGAGGAGAAGAACTACTCATATGGGGAACTATATGCCCCCCCTGAACTGCCCGACATACAAACTGTAAATCTCTGCTCCGTGCTCAAACGCCCGCCTTGCCGGAGGTGGCTCTTGCCTGGCAAGCTCACAGGGTTAGGGTTCGGGGTTTAGGGTCGAGGGTCGAGGGTCTAGGGTTTAGGGCTTCGCAGGACCTAAGTTGTCCTTCCTTTTGCAGCTGAAAGTCCGGAAGTCTAAACGAAGTAAGTAACGTGGGCGGGGGAGGGGGGGAAGAGCTCACGCCACACTAAGCCCAGAAAACCTTGAAAATCCAAGACCTGGACACCAAACCCATTCAAACCCTCTAAAACACGTACACCGTAAGAACGTTATACAGCTCTATAGCGCACCAAAGAAGTGCGTGATCTCTAAGCCCAATGACCTAAGCCCGAAACCCCCACCACCTCCCATTCAGGGGGCCTCTACGGAGTTAGACTCGCAGCTCAATTTTGGCAGCGATGCAAAGGATTCCACCTAGCGCGGCTTCGGGCACATAGGGTTTGCAGGGCTGTTGGGGTATTTGTAGGGCTTATGATGTTGGGTTTGGGATCATAGGCTTGGGTTCTCGGGTTTAGGTTTAGGGGTCACGGGGATTCGAAGGCTCAGGAGCTGATTCTGTGCCTTCGCAATGGGTATTCGAAGGGTTTAGGGTTTGGGGTTTGGGGTTTGGGGTTCGGGGTTCGGGGTTTGGATGGAATTAGGGTTTGGGGTTCAGGTTCACGGATGAGGTCAATGATCTGAGTACCCAAGGTCGAGGTTGAGAGCGTCGAGGCTGAGAGGCCAAACATGTTCGATTGTTTCGGCTTTAACGTTGCACCCACTTTTTGTTTGCCTACTGGCTTGTTCAGCTTTCTGACTTTGTTGGGGTTACCCTCTGTGTGTGTTGAGTGGCGGGAGCGTTGAGTCAGGACAGCTGCAGTTTGATGTCTTTTGTGTTTTGTTCACACCTCCTGCTGGCTCCAAAATCTTGAGGCCTAAAGTTGTCAGGCTTTGAGGGCCCTGGCTTGAGCCCAGCAAAGAAGGGCCTTGCGTTCAGAGCTCGGAGAACCCAGTAAGCTAAGCCCGACCAGCTCCTTGGTTAGGTTGCGAAAACCCGAAACCCTAGACCCCGGAAAACCTTAAAACCCCAAAGCCCTAGCAAATCTCTTGACAGGTAGCCTACCTGCCAGCCCGGCGCGGTTTAGTAGGTTCGTTTGGGCCAGGCAAGCTTCAAGCCTTGCGACCTTCCCAAGGCTTCAGGCTTTTAAGGGCCTTTCTCTTCCGCCAGCCCGCCCCCGGCCCCACCTCCCCGAAATTTGTGTGGGGGAAGCCCGGAAATCGTGGGGGAAATTCCGAAAGCGACTGCACCATCACAGGGTTTAGGGTTCAAGCCTCCCAAGAATCACCTTCCGAAGACTCAGACCCTGGGGCTCGAACACCTCCATCCCGGACCATTTATTAGGGTTTAGGGTTTAGGGTTTATAGGGTATAGGGTATAGGGTTTAGGGTTTAGGGTAGGGCAAAAACCTGTGGGGGGAACAGTTGGTCGGCAGAGCAGCCGGATCACATGAAGGGTGCGCGACGGCGGAAACGGCAACCCGACTAAGGGCGGGCAGGGGATACGAAGGCGGCTATTGTCTCGGCACGAAGGTTATACGAAGGCCGGGCGATAAGCAGCGAACCTGTGCAAACGACGAAACACTCCCCCTACTAACTGCTCACCCCCATTGGTTCCCTGAACAGTTAGCATTTACGGTGCGGAGTTTATTCAGGTCCATTTAGGGTGTCCCTTAACCACACTAAGCCCAAAACCCAACGTACCCAGGGGCTAAGCGTTTAGGCATCCCTGAAGCCTGAACCCGAATTGTTACAAGTCCCACCTCAGAGAGGTTGAACTTCTCGAGGTCCAGATCGACGCCTGGAATTCTAGGATTATGACTTTTTGGGACAACCAAACCTTGTAAATCAAGGACTATCTATTTTTAGGGTTTAGGGTCAAGGGCTGAACTTCGGGCCTCCGACCACAATGCTCAAACTTCGATGCTCTCAAGACCCGAACCCCAAAAAATGACCTCCTTGGCCTGAACCAAGGTGCTTGTGTCGTGCACTCGATCTCAATATGTAGAGTAGTGCAGTACTGGTATCCCCAAACGGACAGCCCGTCGACACAGTCGCCAAACACTCACGACAGACAACAATAGAGATCCCACCTCATGAGGCCTCTTGCTTGCCCTCTGTAAGCTTGAAGCTACAAGCCCCTGCCCCTTCAGGGCTCACAGGCTTATGGGTTTAAGGGGACCCGAACCGCGAAAACCATAAAAATAACTAGCCCCAATCCCCGAAAACCCCCAAACCCTCAACCCTAAACCCTAAACCCTAAACCCTAAACCCTCAACCCTAAACCCTAAACCCACTCTTAAGGTTAGCCTGCTTCAGGCTGCTAGGCGCAGGGTCAGCCCTCAGGTTTAGGGCTTGCTGATTTTCAGGGTCCAGAGTGCAGAGGGTTTAGGGTTTGGGGCTTAGGGTTTAGGGTTTAGGGTTTAGGGTTTAGGGTTTAGGGTTTAGGGTTTGGGGTTTAAAGTTTAAGGTTGAGTCAAAGCTGGGCAAGAGATCGCGTCCAAGGCACCCTGGGGCATCTCACCGCGCTGAGTCAGCTGGAACCGCTGCGGCATAAACCTTGGGGTTTTGAGTTTATAAGGTTCAGGGCGCAGGGTTGAGCAAGTTAAGACAGAATGTCCGCAAAAGGGTACCCCCTGAGCTACTTGGGTTCGGTTTTGGGTCCCTATGAAATCTACATTTTTCTGGTTTTTTCAGGATTGTGTAGGGGAGTAAGGGTAATAACAAATCAAAAATATGTTCAAACCTACCCCTGGCAATTAGAGTACGGCCGCCAGATTCATGAAGTCAGATCGCTGGAGTTTGGCAGGGGTTGTGCTAAGGCTTCCAGGCTCCAAGCCTCAGTGTAGTTGCAAAAAATGCCTCAAGAACTTTGCGCAACAAAAAACGATTCCATAACCTTATGCCTTAAACCCAGCGTGCTTGAAACAATCAGAACAAGCCCTTCAACCTCAAACCGACCCTGAACTCCCCGAAGTATAAGTACCCCTTCATGAAGTCCCCTTTCATGAAGTACCCCTTTCATGAAGTACCCCTTAATTAGAGCCCAGGGGGGGGGGGGGGGGGGGGATGCTAGGAACGCCCATGGTATCTCCGTCAGAGCACCTCGAAGCCTGGGACCGCTCCACTAGCACTGGAGGGCTCATGGGCGGTGAGAGGCTTCGGCATAGGGTTTAGGGTTTAGGGTTTAGGGTTTAGGGTTTAGGGTTTAGGGTTTAGGGTTTAGGGTTTAGGGTTTAGGGTTTAGGGTTTAGGGTTTTTAGGGTTTAGGGTTTAGGGTTTAGGGTTTAGGGTTTAGGGTTTAGGGTTTAGGGTTTAGGGTTTAGGGTTTAGGGTTTATAAGGGTTTGGGGGGTTTTAGGGTGCGATCAACGGAACTCAGGTACCTTTTTGACCCTACTGCAGCGCCTGTGAATCTCACGCAGGGGCAAAAAGGGTACAACTGGGACCCTCGGTTCGATCAGTCTAAGCCCCGAACCCTTAAACCCCAAAAAAGAAGGGTTTAGGGTTTAGGGTTAAGGGTTTAGGGTTTAGGGTTTAGGGCCCAAACACTAAAACCCTTGAACCCCAAAAAAGTGTCCAAGCCGCATAGGGCGCCCAGAAGGGCCAAGCTGCATGCCTGCAACTGGGATGATTTGCAGCTCTTCTGTAGGGCAAATTTAGGGTTTAGGGTTTAGGGTTTAGGGTTTAGGGTTTAGGGTTTAGGGCCTAGGGCTTAGGGCTTAGGGTTTAGGGTTTAGGGTTTAGGGTTTAGGGTTTAGGGTTTAGGGTTTAGGGTCCTAAGAGCCCCATAAGCCCCCCAAACCCCCAACCCGCCTTGCAAGCCCGCCTGCTGCATGGAGACCCCCGGCACACCGGGTCGAAGCGCCTCGCTGTCTCTTTGTTGTCCTAAACCCCGAACACTATACCCCATAGCCCCTATACATCCTATAAACCCTATGAACACTGTAAACCCTATAAACCCTGCAAAACCTATAAACCTATAAACCCTATGAACCCTAAATCGGCTACTTAGGGACCCTGGACCCGAGTCGCAGACTTAAACTCCAAACTCCGAACGCCACGTGACAACCCTACTTGGGCTATTGAGCCACCTACTTGGAGGTGCATGGGTAGTTAGAAGCAGGGATTTTAAGTATGGTAGCTATACTCGTAACCCGATTTCGGGTTATGGTTGCCCGTGAACCTCCAAGCACGCTTCTGTGGGCTATACCTACAGCTTCCAAAGATTGCATCGCTACGATTGCTCTGCGGGGCTAGGGGGCGATATATCTTTCAAGAAGGAGTCCTTCCTGCAACCCCCAGCCGTAGGCCTGGCAACTTGACTGTGAATTACTACATTGGAACCAAACATGATACCCTAAACCCTAAATCCGAAACCCTAACCCCGAAACCCAAAACCCTAAACCCGAAACCCTAAACCCTACACCCGAACCCGAAACCCTAAACCCGTCAGGTTGAGGCCACCCTACGTCCGCAAATGCGCGATGACGAGGGGGTGGCAAGGGGTTTCCCCCTCAGTCCACTCCGCTCACCCTATACCCTAAAACCCCAAAACTTGACAGCTACATCGGAACCGAAAAATGATAAACCCTAAACCCTAAATTCTGCTTGGGCCTTGAACATCTGGTCGGAAGGACAGCAGTCAAACCACCACCCAAAATACTTTAGGGGTAATTAGCCGTGGTATTCCTTTATGGTCCCTTTAGAATTATAATTTACCAACCCCCAAAAACCTATTCTATTTATTAAGGCCCCTATATTACACTACCTGGACCCTGGCCTCAAAGCCTTCCAAACCGACCCAAACTCCCTGAAGCCGTGGGCCCTTGGAACCGTACAAACTTCTTAAAACCAAACCCCGCAAGCCCTAAGCCCTCTACCCCAGAAACTCCATAAACCCCATCAACGCCACAAACCACAAACACCCAATAAATCCCATAAAACCCAGAACCCCACAAACCCCATGAACCCCAAAAATCCCTAAACCCCACAAACCCCACAAACCCCCCAAAAAAAAACCAATGTGGCACAGCCGCATGGCGCTGCGCCAGCTCGAACCGATCCAAGCCGAACTCAACGCCGCCATAGATGGCATGAAGGTTCGACACGCACCCTGCGAGGGTTTAGGGTTTAAGGTTTAGGCTTCAGGGTTTAGGGTGTAGGGTTGAGGGTTGAGTGTTGAGGGTTGAGGGTTCAGGGTTCAGGGTTTAGGGTTTAGGGTTTAGGGTTTAGGGTTTAGGGACCACAATCTGGAGAACTGAGCACATAGGTTATAAAGTCCACTGGCGCAGTGGCTGGGCTTGAGGGTTTTGGCAGTTAGGGAGGCCGAGGACCAAACCCTAAACTCTAAACCCTAAACCCTAAACCCTGAACCCTGAACCCTGAACCCCGAACCTAACCTTTCAGCCCTAAACCCTAAAGCCTCAGAAGAGGCTTTCCGGATGAGGCCTCAGACGCCCCCAGATTCCTATGGGCCGGCTCAGAGTGCTGAATGGGTTTAGGGTAAATACAGCGGCACTAGGGTTTAGGGTTTAGGGTTTAGGGTTTAGGGTTTAGGGTTTAGGGTTTAGGGTTTAGGGTTTAGGGTTTAGGGTTTAGGGTTTAGGGTTTAGGGTTTAGGGTTTAGGGTACTATGAATTTCCAGCTAGAGTTCCAGCTATAGCTCTCATTTTTTGCATTGATAAAGGATATGGATATTGAAACATTGAACCCTTAGCCTGCTAAAGACACGCCTGTCTCCATGTCCACAATCTTGCCATGCTCCAGGCGTATGCGAGATAATCCCCTCATGTTCCTGCGGGAAGGCTTGGGTTTAGGCTTGCAGGTCTAGGCTGACGAGATCAGGTGTATTCTCCGGGTTGATATGTGCAGCGAGCCACAGCGATTATGCCTTGTTCTGTGGCCAACAGCACTTAAATCCTAAACCCTAAACCCTAAAAAAGCGTCGTTGCAATTCGGGAGCAGGGCGGCTCATGAGGGGAGATTGTTGAAGGGCGATATGCAGGGACCTGAGCGAAACACGCACCATACCTAAGGTCCAGGTACAGGCTATCAGGCGACCTTACAGCAGTTGCGGGTGGAAACGGTTTAGGGCTTAAAGGCTTGTTGGGGGGTTTAGCCAGGTCTGCATGCGACACCCTGGGCCTTAAACGAATCTAAACGAAAGCCCTCAGGAAGAGGCGAATGGGTTGACATGGCTGTGGACTTGGGAACTGCGCGAAGAGCTGGGGGTTGAGGCTTTGTACAAGGTTCCGGCTTCGCCCCAGCATCGAAACCGTATTCACCTCGACAACACAGGGGCCTCTGAATTAGAATCTGCATTTCGGGTAGTTTGTCACATATATGTATGAGGCCGAGACATTTGAAGCAATTCAAATCGTTTGATTTCAGTTTTTGAAAAATTGAAGTGTTTACATTATTTGAACTTCTCACAGTATTGTAAAGAAAGCAAAACCGGCAAAACTAAAGACATTTAAACAATCTCCATTGTCTGAACTAACTACATACATATTTGTTCATATCGGAACAATAAGGGGACAATATGTAACGGTGTACCCTGAAACCCGAAACTCACCCTCAGACTCTTCTTCCAAAGTCCGGCCCCATCCCCACCCCCGCTGCACACAGCGAATACCACCCTCAACCCTAAAGCCGAAACCGTAAACCTCAACCCTAACTTTGGCCCTAAACCCTAAACCCTAAACCCTAAACCCTAAACCCTAAACCCTAAACCCTAAACCCTAAACCGGTCCAGAGCTGCGGGATCTCCGGATGGAGCTCAGGGGCCTGGCTTTCTTTCGGGTCAATTAGGGTTTAGGGTTTAGGGTTTAGGGTTTAGGGTTTAGGGTTTAGGGCTTAGGCCTTAGAACTTAGGGTTCAGGGTTCAGGGTTCAGGGTTCAGGGTTCAGGGTTCAGGGTTCTTTTTGCTAAGGGCTTCAAAGATCTTAAAGGCTTTGCGGCATAGGGCTTTCAGGTTTAGCTTTTGTTGTCAAGGCTCATGGCTTTCAGGCTTCAACGGCTTAAGGTGTAAAGGTTTAGGACTGGCGGTTTCGGATTTGCTGTATAGCGTTTAGGCTGCAGGAAACGTGCGCCGACCTGGCGTGTCTCACAGAGGGGTCCAGGCTTTGGGGTTAGGGGCTTTGGGGGTTCAGAGCCATGGTTTCGATGGGTCTTTTGCAGGTAGCTTCTCCACGCCATACATACAGAGCATTGTGGTCTTCTTGCCTTGAGGTCGTACTTCGATTTTGACATTTCGAGACTAAGGGTGTGTATGAGTCTTGGTGGCCCAGTAACCACATTATCATAAGGGCACCCTTCTTTGGGTTGGTTATTCTGTAAGGGAAACCCTAAGCCCTAAACCCTAAACCCCAAACCCTAAACCCTAATTCCTAAACCCTAAACAGAAAAGGGTAAAGGGTACCACTGGGCTACCAAGGAGTCTCTCCCGGCCCGCGCGCCGTATTCGCCACGATCTCGTCCGCCGCGGTCGCCCAGCCTTCATCGATGCGAGCTCCAGTGTCCACCTAAGCAGCAGGGTTTAGGGTTTAGGGTTTAGGGTTCAGGGTTTAGGGTTTAGGGTTCAGGGTTTAGGGTTTCGGGTTTCGGGTTTCGGGTTTCGGGTTTCGGGTACCCCAGAGCTCCTAGGTAGGCCTAGAAGAAAAACACAAGAAACAAAACTAAGAAACGGGTGGTGGAATTTAGAGTTATTGGGGTCCTTATCATAAGGGCACCCTACTACGATTTTATTGTCGTAAACCCACATATAGCTTGCCTGGATCAGTCCAGGTGGCGAGGAATTTGGCGATCACGGACGCCTTCGCCAGCTCGCGGAGGTGGAAGATCACGGACTTCCTGGCAGGAGCGCGACCTCTACCCCAAACCCTTCAAGCTCTTAAGGGTTTTGGGTTTTGGGTTTGGGGTTTAGGGTGCAGGGCTTAGGATCCTAAACCCTGTAAACCCTGCACTCATAGTAGGCCTTGTGTAGGTTCGGCCCGAAGCCCTAAGGCCCCACTTGGGGTCCCCCGTTGTGAAGAAAGGGGGGGGCTCCATGCTACAACCGCTAGGGAGCCCAAGCCCAAACAGGTTAAGGGCCTAGGTGCCCATGTGGTATCTGCTGGTTTGGGATTTAGGGTCCAGGGTTTGGGGTTTGGGGCTTTGGGGTTCGGGACCCTTAGGGCTAAGGATAGGTAGGTTACCTTGTTGCATGTCACGGGTCAGTCTGCCGACAAGGCCTTAGCCTGTGCCTTTGATGAGCAAGCAGGGGCGACTGAAGGCAACCCCCCGCCCCCCCCCCCCCCCCCCCCAAAAAAAGTCGTAAGCTAGACGACGGTACGACCGCTGCAAGCCCGAAGCGCCACAAGCTCTAAAACGTGAACATCCTCATCCGCAAGCCGACCAGGTGTCTTGAAGGAACTCAGAACAAAACAAGCACAAACGTGCGTCACCGAGCTCCTAAGACACCGAATCCGGGGAGCGTACTGAGGCCTTCTTCCCAAAGGGTTGGGTGCGCAGCCCCAAGGTCGTTGTAGGGAGTAGTAGGAGTATTCGGGAACCTTGGGTTACATACACCCCTTGAAACCCCTTCCTCAAGAACCCTATAAAGAGCTCTTCGTAAGGGAGCCTTTTCTTTTCTAGCCTGGTGCAACCTTGTTCCGGGCACTTTTATATCTACGTATAACAATCCCTGAAAAGTCGGGCAGTCGCCTCTCTGCAATGAGGTCGAAGTTACCTCAAAGTCTGCGTGAGATTCGGGCGCTAGGAGTAGAGTCCCATGATTCCGCGGTTTCGCAAGTGTCAGGGAGTTTCTGGTCCAGGGTTCAGGGTTGGGTCTCATGGGCTTTGAGTTCGAGGCTCAGGGCACAACCCTCCTGAACCCTAAACCCTAAACCCTAAACCCTAAACCCTAAACCCTAAACCCTAACCTAAAGATTGGGAGTCCTGGCTGCGGTTCAGGGGCATGCTTGGGCACGCGATCTGGTCAGCTCTTTACTTGAGCCCTTTTAGAGTCCCTGTGCTGGGCTTGGGTTTAGGCTTTAGTTTTTGGTATAGGGTTTAGGATTACTACTATTTGCTTAAGAACCCCAAAAGAATAGAAACATAGTAATCCCCATATTACCCTTAGTAAGTAGATTGTGGGTATAGGATAGGGTTCGGGGCTATGAGGTCTTAGGGCCAAGCTGGTTGCTTGCACCAGGTAGAAGGGATCCTCCTTTAAGGGCCCATAATAAGGGACCGTGTAGCTAGCCGGAACCCTTAGAATAGTAAAGGATAGGTGGTCTTATGGGTCTCTCTGGTCTCTTTCATGGTCAACTCAAGAATAGAAGTTAACTTGTCACGCAGAGGGTTCAGGGAACGAGCTCAAAGCCGAGCCAGCGGGCGCGTGAAGGCATCTGCGAAGCGTCGGAGAGGGTGCGTGGGGCTCGTGATGGCCACATCCTTCCTTAGTGGGTGGTGCAGTAAGTTGTAGGGCTATAGGATTCTAGGATTATAGGGCTTAGGGTCTTAGGGTTTTAGGGCTAGGGAGCCCCCTCCACAAGGATGTAGTATCTGATACCCAGACGCTTCAAATAGCCAAAGTAGGAACTCTATATAGGAAACGTCGGCCATCAGCAGGCCCGGCAACCAAATTCAACTTTCGTAGCTCCGAGGATCAGCCCGTCATCCGTTACCACTTGCTCTCTCGCCTTTCCGGGTTGCAGGAGTTTTGCTCGGGCTCAAGGGGAGGCGAGGTGTCTAGGGGTTTGGGGTTAAGGGTTCAGGGCTCGGATTTCAGAGCTCTTTTACAGGGGGTCTAGGGTTTGAAGTTTAGGGCTTAGTAGGCAATGGAGGGGGGGGGGGGGGGCTCTGACAGCACTCAAGGCTCTTCAGCTTGGACTTGCTGTTCTTGGTACCCCAATGACCATATTAGAATAAGGGCACCCTTTTTTGTTGGTAAATTTATAAGGGAACCTTGAACCAAAAAAAGGGGAAAAGGGCACCACTTGGCTACCAAGATCTTTTTTAGGGGGGGAGGGGGGTAATGAGAAATTAAACCTCTAATAATGGAAGCCGCAACCTGGTCAAAGGCAACCTTGGAGTGGACTTTGGGGCTTAAGGTTTAGGGTTCAGGGTTTAGGGTTTAGGGTTGAGGGTTGAGGGTTTAAGGTTTAGGGACAGCAACTCCCCTTCACGTGATGTTTGTTCATAAGGTACCTTTTGAGAGCCGGTTCCATTTAAGTTCTCTTCCTGTTGGAGCTCTTCAACCTGACTTTGTGATCACTTCAGCAGGTCACCTTACACGGAGCTGCATTTACACCTCTCTAGACTGTCTAGACCCTAAACCCTAAACCCCAAAACCCAAACCCGAAACTCCAAACCCAGAACCCCGCCTCCACGCCCATCTTCACGCAGGGCACCAGTGTCTTGTCGGCGGCCATGTGGACTTCAGCCTTCTTCACCTCAGTTTCCGAAAATAGGGGTACCCTTTTTGGGGCGTCCCTCGAAGGATTTTACGGGGCTTCTATTCTGTTTGGGGGAGAAAAACAAAGGGGCATGCGAACTTCGGCCTTCTTCACCTCAGTTGCCAAATATGGGGGCCTTATTAGTTAGAATGGGGTTTTGGGGTGGTATTATAGTATATTTATAGATGGACCAAAAGAGAATACTAGAAGTATTTATTCCGACCCCGATATTAAACCTGGAACCCGAAACCTGAATAGGGTTTTGGGGCACGTAAGGCCCTGGGGTTCGCATGGAGCTTTAGGGTTTACTCCTACAATATTACCATATGCTCCCCGAATCGTCCTCACATTACAAAAAGCTACTTGGTACCCCAGTGACCATATTGTAATAAGGGCACCTTTTTTTGGTTGGCTAATTTATAAGAAAACCTTGAACCAAAAAGGGAAAAGGGTACCACTGGGCTACCAAGGCTATAAAGTAAACACTCTCATGAGAATCGGCTCGCAGATTAGGGGCTTCCACGGCAGTTCTTCGCCGCAGGGGGCTTCGGGGAGGGCTCGGGATTCTGGCTGGCGTCGCGAAGAACAACCTCACGCTAACAGCTTGTTATGCCAGAACAAGCTGAAAATACCATGACTTTCCTTGATGAAGTAAAAAAACATTGCAAGCTGCGACATCTTGGAAAGTGGGCAGCGAATGTGCCTTTTGTGGGGAAAGCTCCGTCAGAGGCCGACGGTGTAAATGCCACGCTAATCGCGCGTGTCGCACTGCACCGTTCCACTCCACCCTAAACCCTAAACCCTAAAACCTAAACCCTAAAACCTAAACCCTAAAACCTAAACCCTAAAACCTAAACCCTAAAACCTAAACCCTAAAACCTAAACCCTAAAACCTAAACCCTAAAACCTAAACCCTCTTTAGCGATAAGTGGCACACCTTCCACAGAAGCGCGGAGCACACGCGCTAGAAAATAGAATCCCCAAACCCAAGCCATACACACTACACCCGGAGCACTAAAAGCCCCTAGGCCCTATACCCTGAAACCCCACAGCCTTGAAGCAAAGTATCAAGTCAAATGATAGTAGAGTGTAGTATGCATCGTCTACTTACCCTGAACCCTAAACCCTAAAGCCTAAACCCTAAACCCTAAACCCTAAACCCTAACCCGACATACCCTAAACCCTAAACCCTAAACCCTAAACCCTAAACCCTAAACCCTAAACCCTAAACCCTAACAAGTCTCGTCTGACTCAGTAGCAGAAGTCCTAAGCCATGGCTGAGTGCCGCCCACGCTGCAACGAACCACTCACGCCCGGCCCAAGGCTGATCCTGCATCCCCATGGCCTGAGGTTTAGGGTTTAGGGTTTAGGGTTTCGGGTTTAGGGTTTAGGGTTTAGGGTTTAGGGTTTAGGGTTTAGGGTTTAGGGTTTAGGGTTTAGGGTTTAGGGTTTAGGGTTTAGGGTTTAGGGTTTAGGGTTTAGGGTTTAGACTTTTGGGGTTTACTGTTTAGGGTTTAGGGTTTGGGTTTTGGGTTTTAGGGTTAGTTTAGGGGTTGGGGTTTGGGGTTTGGGGCTTTTGGTTTGTGGGGTTTGGGGGCCTAGGGTTTCGGGTTTAGGGTTCGGGGATTCAGGTTTGGCCTTTTGGGGTTTGGGGTTTGGGGTTTGGGAATTAAGGTCACGGGGAGGGCATTAAGTTGACGAAGGCTCCTTGTGAAGAAGGAGCACAAAGGGAAAAACACCCTAAACCCTAAACCCCAAGCCCTAAACCCTAAACCCTAAACCCTAAACCCTAAACCCTAAACCCTGCGTGAGTTTGATGGCATGCCACCAGCGGCTCTGAGTCATCGGGATGGTATGGAACCGAAAGCCCTGAAACCTTGAGCCCGAAAGCCCTGAGACCCCGCCACCTAGTGAGGAGTTGTGGCTTTCTCCAACGTTTAGAATCTGGACTTCTAGTACCTGCCCTAGAGCTACGGTCCTGGCTTTCATGCACCGCGCGAATGCGACTCGGGCTGCCGCGACTGCACCCCCAGAGGGTCGCTCAGCTGGGATCAAGCGGCTATTTTCCTACCCTGATGACCACCCACGAACAAACTTTTCGACGTTGCAAGCAGACTTGTAGTACATAAGGTCCATATGGGTGGTTGTCAAAATTATGATCCCTTTTGGGGTACCCTAAATATTCGGTGCCGTATTATAATAGGGATCCAAAAAGGGACCATAATTTTGACAACCACCCATATGTTCAAGGAGATTTGGGGGATGGCAAGCCTAAGGCCTGGAGTGCGCAAAGAGCAGGGGCCTGAAACCCTCCTAGCGGCCTAGCTCGACGGCTGCGCCTGCCTTGCGCAGCGCTTAGGCTGTCTTTGGGCTACAGGGTTTAGGGTTAGAATTCACTCAGACTCCAAAACCGGAACCCTCAACCCTGAACCGCCACCCTAAGCCTTGAGCCTTTTCTGGCGTGCTCGCACGGACAACGAAGGTGCCTCGGACCAGTCGAAGACGCTGAGCATGCCCACAACGGGCATCGTGTATCTCAGCTGAGATCATCCTAAACCCTCCGATGGCTCAAAGGTCTGGGTGAAAGCCCGCGTCTTTTTCTTCGGTCTCCCTTAGGGACTCCAACTCCCCTGAAAGGAAAACTCCTTAAAACATAGATAGGTTTCTTGCATGGTTTAAGGAATATTCCCTAATTCAGGAGCTGTCTAATCTTTGGGTTCAGGGCTGAGGGCCAGCACAGATTTCTGGGCGTGCGTCGGGCGGTCTACGCGGCTACTCCTTCTTGCTTGCTACAAGGAGAATCTGCAGGGAAAGCTTGCCACAAGCTAAACTCTGCTTCGGAGGCACTGAGCCTAAACCTAAACCCTAAATTGAAAAGCCTACACCCAACACCCTAAACCCCAAACCCTCAAGGTTGCAAATAACCTGCCCCAACATGAGGGGTCCATAATCGCAACACGTGGGCCTAGCGACTTCGCTCAACCCTGACTCCCTAAGCCCTGCACAACCTCCACAAAAAGTGCCAAGGAGCTCTCCCAGAGCTAGCTCCTTCAGGAAATAGTCGGCCTTTAATCGGGCACCACAACAGTACATTTAACTCCATGGGAGTTTACGACAAAGGGACCCGTAATATGGATCTCACATCGTAGGACCCCAATAAGGTACCCCTAATATCGGAAACCCCACATTGGAGTACAGCACTGTAAGGGTGCTTGGGAAGGACGTGGTTCCTGTTAGGAATTACGACTCCTTCGGACTGCAGTTGCTTTGGGGGGAAGGGAGTATTGGCACATACAGAGATTATGAAAGAATCCATCCACTCACCCACAGCCTCTCAAGCTAGGGTAAACCAGATGCGGCAGTAGTCCCGTTAAGCCCGAGTTCTAACTTAGGGTTTAGGCGATACCTTTTTTTTGGCTTCGGGGCCTAGGACCCCACAAACCCTGAACCTGAACCCACTCAAACCTCACATATAAGATGCCGAAAAATCCGACCGAAACCGAAGGAAAAACCTCAGCTCTGAACTGAAATAGCGTGCTCCAAGAGAGCTGAAGGTATCCTAAGTCTCGGGTGGGTTGGTCTTAACTGGACTTCATAGCGCACAGAGTCCAGGGTGTAGGGTTTCCTGTAGGGTTTAGGGTTTAGGGGTTTAGGGGTTTAGGGTTTAGGGTTTAGGGTTTAGGGTTTAGAGTTTAGGGTTTAGGGCTTAGGGCTTAGGGCTTAGGGCTTAGGGTATTCCAACGGGCCTGAAGAGTTGCACAAGGCGTGCAGAAAGGCAAAGGGAGGCCAGGCTTGCGGGCTTTCTTGGGACTAGGGTCTAGGGTCTACTGGTTTAGGGTTTAGGGTTTAGGGTTTAGGGTTTAGGGTTTAGGGCTTAGGGTTTAGGGTCTACTGGTTTAGGGTGCAGGCTCTATATCGTGTTTAGGGTCTTTTGTATTATAGGTTTAGGAACCCTAAACCCTAAACCCTGAACCCAAAACCCCTAAACCGTTCAGGGTTAGGGTTGAGGGTTTCTGGCGAACGCACCTGGAACATCACGTCCCCAACGCTGGTCCCTGCAAGCCACTCGGGCTCAAAGCCTTGGGATGTCTGGGGGGAGGGGGGGGGAGAGGGGGTTTAGGGTTTAGGGTTTAGGGTTTAGGGTTTAGGGTTTCGGGTTTAGGGTTCAGGGTTTCGGGTTTAGGGTTCAGGGTTTAGGGCTTAGGGTTTGGGGTTTTAGAACGCCTTACCGGCCAAGTGCTTCGAGCGTCGTCACCCCTCCACCCGCCCGTCAGCAGCAAAGAACTGCATCCCACATGTGACAGCCCCATGCGCTGAAACTTCACGGTGGTCGAAGGTCATCCCTAAACCCTAAACCCTAAACCCCAAACCCTAAACCCTAAACCCTAAACCCTAAACCCCAAGCCCTAAACCCTAAACCCCCTTCAGGGAATTCCGGGGCCAGTCACCCCAACCCTAAGTTTGGGGGCTGTTTTCCTTCCGAACCTGCAGAGAGAAGCCCCCCTGGTTACAAGTACAGTTACAGGGGCCTGGGCTTACAGGCATTCTGGAGGCAGTTTTTGCGTCCCTTAACGAAAAGAAGAAGAAGAAGGGTTCAAGCTTTACGGGTGTACAGTGAAGGTAGTGTTTCTCTCCACGTGCCGGGAAAGGCGCGCTTCTTCTGCGTTGTGGTCTCCACGTTCCTGACATCAGCACTGTGCCAGTGATGTGGTCAAGAAACTAAGCCCTCAACCCACCATCCAAAAAAAGGGCTAGGGTTTAGGGTTCAGGGCTAGCCGATAACCTGGAACCTCTCAACGCGCGCCCTGAACCCGGCGAAAACCAGCTCCAGAGCCTGAAATCCAAACCCAAACTCTGGCTAGTGTTCCCAATCGTGACTCGCTGGCGTGATCGCGAAAAAACCCACTCCAACAAACATGCGACCACATTGGAAAAACGCAAGGGCGCCCAGTGGGAGTCTTCGGGTCCCTCTGAGCTGACTCAGCCCCACTTGGCCCAATGATGGCTCCAGTCCACACGGGGGTTTACGAAAACAAGGGACCCTGAATAGAGACCCCCAAACAGCAGGATTCCTTTACAGCCTCCTAGGCGGCTTTGGTGAGTGCTCGAGCGTTCCATCATGCAATCCCAAAGGACCCATGTACTCATGTAGTTAACCACAAGCTAGATGCTTGGACTCAATAAGGACTATGTTTCAACTACTCTTTGGGCCAAGTATTCCCACACGAAGGTAACTGGATCCTTTCGGAGTACGACAAGCGACATCTCGTGATGGAGCTGAGCTAATCTGAGGCTCCTAAACTCAACTGCACCAAGGACACTACATACACAACAAGCTGCTAAAAAGGAAATGGCAAGAGAGAAGTCGCTTCGGAAACCCCAAGCCGACCCTATTCTGAAGAACCGTTTTGGGATTGTGCCGCCAAAACCACTTCAATCAAGCTAGTAGTTCTTGTGAACTGCTGGTACGGGTGTAGGATCGTTACCATTCTTCTCTGGGATCCAGGCGTGGTACTCAGCTCCCCCTAAAATCCCGGAAGCCCTGCGCATCCGAAGACTTTACTACCCCTAAACCCTAAACCCTAAACCCTAAACCCTAAACCCTAAGCTCCAGAAAGCAACTTTGGGCTAAGCGTCTTGGGATCCACGGGATCCAGCGAGAAAAGGGGCTCCCGGCGTGACTCCCGACGCACCTGGTGTCAAGCGCAGCGGAGCCGAATCAAGGGCCAGGAACCCCAGACCCAAGAGTAGCCTAGGAATACCCCTAAACCCTAAACCCTAAACCCCAAACCCTAAACGCCTAAACCCTAAGGGTGCCCGTTTTGGTAACTAAAGGGGTGTTTCAGGGAACCCGGGCGTTAAAAACAGAAATAAGGGCCTACTCTGGGTCTTGGAACCTATAAAAAAGGCCCAAAGCCCAACTGCAACCGCGTCTGCAGCCGCTGGATTTGAGGTTTGAGGGTTTTAGGGTGAGAGGGGTTAGGACTTCAGGGCCTTAAGGGCTTGAGGAGGCAGTTGTTCGTGTTTGGGGTTTAGGCTTTAGGGTTTAGGGAACTGGCTTGAAGCATACAGCAGTCAGTAGGCCTTGAAGATCCTTTCCAGTCCAAACAAGGGAATTGAGCACGGAACTCCTACGCCCTATAATCCGTGTAAGCACTGGGAGCCCCTTAAGCCCTGCAAGTACAAGCCCTGTACTTTCTCTGCACGGCGTTTCTCACCTGCATTCGTTGCGGCACGCTATAAGCTCAATCATTTGGTTGCCAATTACTCATTCCATTTATGTTTTTTGAAAGGCTCCTCCAAGGCCCTAGACTTAAACCCTTAGGGTTTAGGGTTTAGGGTTTAGGGTTTAGAGTTTAGGGTTTAGGGTTTAGGGTTTAGGGTTTAGGGCATTATAGCCGCACCCCCCAACGAACCCCAGAACAAAGCCCGCCTTGAGAGCCAGCGCAAGGTACTCCAAGTTCACGGCCGCCGCCGGCTCCGCCGTTGGCGCCGCACGCACGGTGCGGGCCGCCTGCAAACGACAGGGCTCTCGGGGTTTAGGGTTTAGGGTTTAGGGTTTTGGGTTTAGGGTTTAGGGTTTAGGGTTTAGGGTTTAAGGTTTAGGGTTTAGGGATTAGGGATTAGGGATTAGGGATTAGGGTTTAACAGTTCTTTTGAGCACAATTAAAAAGAGGCCACAAGGGAATACTAGTAGGCCCCTACATTGAAGTTGAGGGTTTGTGGCTAGGAATCGGAAGGCTTGCAAGATGCGGCACTTTGGATTGAGGCCTCTTGAGGTCTAGGGTCCGGGGTCCTTCCGGGCTTTGTTTGTTGAAGGCTTGTTTTAGAGGCGAGGGTTATGTGTCGGTGGACTCCGCAACCAGAAAGTCCGGGCACCCGCTTTAACGCCTTAAACCCTTAAACCGAAAAACGCCGAAACCCTAAATCCTAACCCTTAACCCTTAACCCTTAACCCTTAACCCTCAACCCTAGACTTGGGTTTCAAGGTGGCTCCAACACCGCGAGCTGTCCCAACCAACCCCCAAACCGATGTTCGGGGGCAGCTGGGGGCTCAGGGTTTGTTGGGTGATGACGGACAAACACTATAGCCATAGGTCGAAAACTCTGCTTGTGAAGTAGTGACATCCTTGCTTCAGTTGCCAGGTTGCGATGTGCGGCGAAAGCATGTGCTGCACCACATGCCCCAAACAGCTACCCTGAACCCTAAACCCTAAACCCTAGTCCCTGAACCCGAAACCCTAAACGATCCAGAGCCCCTCACGTCTTCGGACGCTTCATGTTTCGACTCCCCGTGAACCCAGAATAACCCCAAGAACTGCAGAAAATGATCCAGTGATCTCTGAACTCTGAAGCGCTGAACATCCCTCCGCCACTTCCAAAGTACCCGAGGAAGTCAGAAGACTCCCCACCTCGTCCCAGACGAGGCACGTCAGGCCCCTCCACAGATCAAAGGGGCATAGTAGGGAACCGCAATAAGGCTTCACAATTCAATAAGCTTCTTGTCGTTCGCACTGTGGCCTTGTTGATCTAGATTGCACCTGTTTTAATGGAGGGTTCAGGGTCTGGTCTCGGATTCGCGTAGAGTGAACTCGACTTGTCACTATCCCGTGCCTTAACCCTAAACCCGAAGGTTTGGGGGGTTGAGGCGTGTGGGTTCAGGGATTCGGGCTCAAACCCTAGCGGCGGGACCTGCAAACTCAAATGCCCAGGCGACTTTTCATTCTGCAAGGTGCCTAGAAGCGTTGAGCTCAAAACACACTAAACCCTAAACCCTAAACCCTAAACCCTAAACCTTGAACCCTAAGTCCTAAGCCCTAAGCCCTAAACCCTAAACCCTAAACCCTAAACCGTAAACCCAGAAGCACGAACTCTGGGGGGAGCGGGGAGGAGGATTTCGGTGCCTAAGCTCGCCGAAGCCCAGCTGCTCCGCCAGCGGTGCACTGGAAGGGACGAGCCTTTCGGGTTTAGGATTTAGGGTTTAGGGTTTAGGGATTCGTGGTGGCCTACACCCTAAACCCTGAAGGTTTTTGTGTCAGGGGTTCCACTATTCAGGGCTTCGGGGTGTTCGGCTGGCTGGGGATTGAAGGTTAACGTTTAGGGCCTGGGGTTGAGACATGCTGATCTGCTGGAGTTTTAGGGTTTAGGGTTTAGGGTTTAGGGTTTAGGGTTTAGGGTTTAGGGTTTAGGGTTTAGGGTTTAGGGTTGAGGGTTGAGGGTTGAGGGTTGAGGGTTGAGGGTTGAGGGTTGAGGGTTGAGGGTTGAGGGTTGAGGGTTGAGGGTTGAGGGTTGAGGGTTGAGGGAGGGTTGAGGGTTGAGGGTTTGAGGGTTGAGGGTTAGGGTTTAGGGTTGGGTTTGGGTTAGGGTTTAGGGTTTAGGGTTTAGGGTTTAGGGTTTAGGGTTTAGGGTTTAGGGTTTAGGGTTTAGGGTTTAGGGTTTAGGGTTTAGGGTTTAGGGTTTAGGGTTTAGGGGTCCTGGGTGTTTAGGGCACAGGTTTGCGGCATGCTGAGGGCTCTCAGTTGTTGAGGGCTCTCTGGAAGGATGTAAGCGGGGAGGGCGCGTGGCTTTGGGGAGGCAAGCGTTTCGGCGTCGGAGCTTCCGGTTTTAGAGTTCACGGGGTTAGGCCCTGAACCCTAAGCCCTAGACCCTAGACCCTAACCCCCAAACCCTAAACCCTAAACCCTAAACCCTGAACCTAAACCCTAAACCCTAACCCAAAAACCCTGAATAGGGTTGCAGGATTGAGGGTGCGGAGTTTCAGCCCAGGTGCGACATCGACCAGCCAATGTCGTGCTCTGCACCTCAAGAACACAAGCTCAGGAGTAGGGTTTGGGGCTTCGGGCTACCCCTACACCCCCAAACCCCAAACCCCAAACCCCAAACCCCCAACCCCAAACCCCAAACCCTAAACCCGAAACCTAAACCCTAAACCCTGAACTCCTAACACTCTCCTACCCTGAAACCCTATAAGCCCTGAAACTCGATCAGAAGACCAAGCCGAGCCCTACTTGCAGGTATTGAAAAGATGGAGTTTGCCCCCTTATACTCA